GTGTTTAAATAAAGTCATTCGAAGTTCGTTGCTACATTGCAACAGACTAATCCCCCACCCTACCCACCCCTTCCAGTATCAATATTTCGTACATGTTTCTGTTCGTTTTGGTGTTGTTGCTTTATTTGAGTCTTTTTCTTTTGTAAAATGATATGGATAAAAGGTCGAACTAAAGACTGCTTTGTATACTGTATACACTTCATTAAAGTCTGTTGCACTCGCGCATGCGAGTTGGTCGTATATAAAAGTGTTTTGAGTTTTATTTTATAAATAATTTATGTTCGGTTGAACTGGTGAATTTAGAACATAATTACTACATGTATATCAGTTCTATAATATCTTCTTTCTGTTTTTATGACTTTGTAGAACAGTAAATTACATGTACCTTATCAATTTTATTGTAAATTTTAAGGCACAACACAAAAAGACCAGTAACACTTAACCTTAGAAAATATTTACATTGTCGTTTAAGTCATTTTGTTTATCGTGAACATTGTATGAGTGTGGATTTTGAAAAGATAACAAATAGTATTCAAGCACAAAATTTTATTGGAACAAATAATATTCAAGCACAAAAGTTCATTGGAACAAAGTAAATTGGTAGCAGAGTAAACACGGACCTCTAAAAACATAGGATCAGGTGTGAAATACGAAAATAAAAATGAAATTTATAATGTGAGTAATTTGTTTTCTAAAAAATGTACTCATAAATGCACCTCTTGATCATTTTTGAAGAACTTTAATTCGCCACTCTTCACGTCGAATTCCACTGCCATGACATCCCCCACACTACATTTCTCAATTTTTGTTTGGGAATTCCCCTTTTCAATAAAGATTCTGCAATGGGAAATTTATTTAATTGCTTTTGAAAACGTATCATGATTAAAAGATGGAATAAGATAATACACATTTTGCAATTGTCAAAGTAATAGGAAAAACCATTCACATGTTTTGACAAATGGATATCTTTCTTTGTCAAACCTCATCATTTTTGTTCAGAAGTTTAATACTTACCCTCCGTCATCTGCATGGTATCCAAATGATTTACTCTTCCATCCAGGCATATTATTACTGGCATACAATCTTGGGCACATCCCTATCCCTATGGAGTTCCTTGATCCTCCACAAAGAATCTCTGAAAAGTCAGAAGTATTAATTCATTATTTCATCATCTTACTAGGGTGATTTTTTTCTCAAAGATATGAAAGAATCAGAGGTATGCTGATGTAAAAATTAACTTAGCTTAATACCAATTTGAATTGAATAGCTGTTTGCTTTCATCATTATGAACTTATTTCAAAAAATTTATAGACGTTCTCTTAATCATAATTACATCTATCAATACTTCATGATGGCATGCACCTTATAAAGATATCCAGATTCAAAGCAATTAGTCATCTGTATAAATTCAATCAAGCTTATCAGAATTCATGAGAGGATTGCTGAGATTGTGGATAGATGCATGTATAGATAGAAACAAAAAGACATACATACATGTTATTTGAAATTGTATCTCTGTATAAGAATTAACGTTTTGGCTTTTAAATGCTGAATGTTTACTTCCAATATTACAATTTACCTTAACAATGCTACATTAACTTTTATATTCTTTTTGGTTTGTAAGATATCAGATGATATTAAATTTTTAAATTTATTGACAATGGTTCTTTCACTTGAAAATTAGTTGCTTTTTGACACCATTTTTTCACATGATATTGCAAGATTTAGGAAAACATCATGAAAAAATGAACAGGAAAACCTCTCAGTAGAATTAATCTATGAACGTTTATATTAATTATGTAGCCTTCAATAATTGCAAGAATAAAAAATTATCCATGTCTATGACGCATGAAAAAGTGTATTCCTTTTAAATTCATACAATTACAGAAAATAGATGTAATATATATGTCTTGTCGTCTTTACTAACTTAACTTTAAAAGAGAGAATATCTATTTAATGATTGAGCAGATTCTTACTTATTGAAAATCTTTGCAAGGCTTCTGAAAATGGCTTGGGTGCAACGAACTGCGCAACAGGCTTCGAACCATACTTGTAGCTGTGCAAAAAATAGTGTGCATTTAATTTTAAACAAAGCAATGGACAGGTTTTAAGGATAGAAAGCTGCTATCTTACGCTCCCTGCATACTTCATATGCATTTAACCATGAATGTTTTCAAAATCTCAATGTTGTTAAAATTCACTAGTAACAGAAATTCTTCAACAAATGATAGGAAGAAAAGAATCCATCTTTTTTAATTGAATTTTAATAATAGTCATAATAAGTTCGTATGTAATACATGTATTATGTCTGATTTTATACAGAAAAATATAAAAGTCAAATGTGTGTATCCAATTACTAGTATATTCATGACTTTCTCATATTTGTATCCATTACCAAACAACTCCTGCTTCTTGAAGAGCCAATGCTTCTTTGCAGATATCGGTGTAATACTGAACAAATGTGGGGGTCACACCTGCTGTATTGCTTTTATCTGCAGTGCTAGATATAGATCCCTACAAAAGTTTGTAAACTATGAGATAGTTAAGTTAAATCATGAACAGATGACGCAAACAAAAAACAAATGGTTGCCTTGACAGTTATATATTTTTAGACATATTTTGATTGTAAATGATGCTAATATTAAAAGTAAAAATATTAAGAAATAGTTAACTTTTTTAATGTTAAAAATTATAAATTTTTGGCATCGCTTTTATAAATTCATACATTTTTTTTATCACAGTGTAGGACATAATTGAGAAACCTTGAATGAAAAAAATGAAATCTTTGAAGTTGGAATTGTTTATTATACTAATACCAACATGGCTTAATTTTCATTTTCATGATTGTAGAAAACAATATTTATATCATCTGTCTTTTAGCATTGAAATGGCAACATTAATCGATATTCAGTAAACGTTTTAACCTTTGGTGCTGAAAGTCGTATCTTTAGTCGATCACCCTCTCTAATACAAAGCCGTAAATCTATAATATATATTATGAATTTTATGTACATTGGTAAATATGTCACAAAACTTGCATTTTCAAGCTGAAAAAAGAAAACAATAACCTTTAGTCGTATAATGTAAATACATTTTTATCTATATGAAATATGGAGATAACAGTATTCAAAAAACAAAGTCCATTAAAACAATAAAAGTCGGGAGCAGAGTAAGCACGGACCTCCATCAGTGGTAGGATCAGGTACCATGGAGGAGTGAGCATCCCCTGCTGACCAGTCACACCCACCGTTTGCTCCTTGTCATGATCGGTAATTAACGGAAAAATCCGTCGACAAATCAGTGTGTAAAAATGACCTAACAAATAAACTACCTTTGTTGTATTCCAGTGCTAGCCTGACGTCAGATAAACCAATTTTCACCTCGCTGCTGAAAGTCCGAGATTGTCCTGGGGCTGCCATTATGGTGTTTCCTTCAGAACTGAAAGTATTTGTAAATGAAATATAACAATTATATTGCAAATTTACCTCTTGAATATTTCTAAGTCATATGACTGAAAAAGAACATAAGAATTTCTGATTTCTTTCCTTTTGTCAAAACCCTCCTCATTTTCTTTTTTTTTAATATGCATTATGTAATATTTGATTAATTAAATGTTTTCTTCTTCATATAACCTTGCGATAAAGTTATTTATCCCAATAAATAACATTCTGAAGAAATATATTAACAACTTGTTTGCAGTTAATTATTGAGTGAATAAATATCTAGAGTAATTCATGCGACAAAGCTTTCAAAGAAATTTTTCAGATTTCTTTTTAAAAATAAATAAATGGTTATTTCTTGTCAACTTCAAAACAGTAAGATCTCAGATACATTTAAACGTGTAAACTTCAAATCAGCTTAACATCAGATATATCAATAGATTTTCTTTGAAAACTTGAAGTTAATAAACTAAACCTCAGACACATCGGTGGACACATCCCCGATACTACATCAATTTCTATCTCATTAAATGTCACTGGGTTCAAGGTCACCCTGTAGATATCAGCTGTGGAGGTGAAAGACATCGTCATTGGTCTTAGTTCTGTCCTCAGATCCTACAACAAAATAGAATTATATCGTAGTAAATTGTTAATAATGTGAAATCATTTGAATTTGTGAAAGAATGAATGTTTTTGTGTAGTCAACATTGGTTTGTGGATATGTGGATAAACAAAAGATTTAATGGATCTATGGAAAAATTTGTTGATTGGAAGATGTTATCCATTGAATAAGATGATCAAAAAATCCACAAACAATAATGATTTTACAGTTTTATCATTATGTTACATTTCATGCTAATTAATGCAAAGACATATGTATAATAACAGATAATTCGAGATTTTTTTCCGCAGAAAATCTTCACTGTCATTGATATTTCGACTTCCATGGTCTTAGATTAGTTAAAAATTAATTGAATATTCGAACTTTAAAAGTTTAAAGCTTTTAGGGTCATACCCATAAACCTTTGGCACACGTTACACATATTCCACAGTCTACACATCCAGGAGTAGTTGTTTTACATCCACATTCCCTTAGATCCGTGCCCATGATTCTGTTGTATGGACATTGTTCCCCTGCCTCACAACATAAGTTACACAGAGTGCAAACAGATTGAATGTGTTCAGTGTCTGGAAGGGAGATCCAATTATGATTGCAGCCCAAAGAAGTATGAACTAAAAATTAAGAGTTAAAAACGGGTAAAATATGAAAAGAAATCGTAGAATATATGCATTTCTTATCTTCACTCTTCTGAAAGCATTTTCTATCTATAAGCCATGTAAAATTGTCATTTAAAAAAATCAAACGCTTTTCACATGGGAAAAACAGCATTTTAGTAAACCAATGTGCTAAAAGGATTTGTCAAATCAGGAAGTAAATATTTTATCCAATGAATCAAAGACTTTCTTATTATTTTGCTTCAAAAAAGAAATAATACAAATATCTTTTCAAGAATTAAAAAAGGGAATCCATTGAAGGGATGCATATCAAAATCGTTTTAAATTATTATAATCAAATAACCATATACTTCATTGTATGGACTCACCTGAGTTAAGAGGGATATTCTGTGAGATAACTGCTACAATGCCTTGTCTCTTGATAATACAATCAACAAGATCGGTCACAATAAAGAAGACATGTTTTGTGTATTCTCTAACACTTTTCTCTGTATCATCATTTACAGACTGAGTTCTCTTCTGTGGCAGAAAGCATCTACATTCGATCAACAGCATCCTGTTTCCTGTGAAAAAGATGAAGATAACCAACAGCGATCCATCTCATCAAAACTACAAACAATAAAGTTTTTGTGAACAGGGAATAATCACGACCCCCGAAAATTCCAGAGGTTGGATCAGGTGTCTGGGAGGAGTAAACATCCCCTCCTTGACAGGTCATACCTGCCGTGAGCCCTACGTATTGATTGAGTAGACGGAACATTCCGTACTCAAACCCAGTATAGAAATCTCTGAACAGGTCATAATCACGGACCCCCGGACATTCCATGTTTGGGAGATGAATCGCAGTTGAAACAGTAATTTAATGCAATAGTAATTCATAACCTAGATTATATGAAAATTCAGGTCAGAAAATCATTAGATATCTATTAATAGTTAGTTATATATAGTATTCTAACACATCCTTAGCTGCTTTAGACATACACATCCTTCTTTGGTCTCTTGTGGTCAGCAATGAAAGATAAATTTTTAACTTTTTTTTCATTGACTTATGACGACTCGCAATGATTTCAATGACATAAGCATGAAACATGGAGATAACGAACAATATTTAAGCTCAAAGTCCATTTAAACAATACAAATCGGGAGCTGAGCAAACACCAACCTCCAAAACATCAGAGGATGGATCAGATGCCCTATTGTACAACCTCTCTTTCAGTGCTATTAATTTTGTCAACTTTAGCAATTTTTTTAATGGAACTAGTACTTAGAAATATAAACAAAAAAGAAATACCATTAACTGTTTCCTCTCTAACAATAACCTGGACGGTGCCAAAAAGTAAAACTCCTCCTTCCTGTGAAAGTATAATGGGACGGCCATATCCAACAGCAGCAGCCAAGACAAGGGGAAACAACTGCTGTGGGTAGAGGGCTGGAAAACTGTATGAACGCTGAATCAATACACAGTCTTTCACTGCTTTTTCCCTGGATATAAATTCTCTCTGAAAGAAAAGTCTCGTTGTTAAAATTGTCATAAAATAGCAATATATTTCTCACGTCTAGCTTTTATTTCATTACAGTGTTTATATAGACACTTTTCATTTTTTTAACATATCAAGAAAATATATAGATGTTAGTGTAAAATCAAATATGAGATTTTCCTCATTTTATTTGCAAAAAAATATATCTCTATATCCATCTACCATAGCATATTACTGACATTTGTTATGCTTCAAAAATTAGTGTAAGTTGATATTTTACTAACAAATGTGAATTTGGGTGGATCTAAATTTTTTAGGAGAGCAAAAATCAACTTCTCATCTTCAATGCAAGTTCTCAATGTCACAGGCACTTTCACTAGACCCAAGTAATTCTGTAGAAAGACCAGTATCAACTTTTCCTTTTCCTGATCCTGAAAAGAATCAATCCTTTTTTTTTTTATTTTTGTCATATATATTTCCATATCTTAATGAAAGGAAAAAATCAACAATAAAAATTTAAAGAAAATGTCCACAAAATATGTATTTATTACCAAAATACATTTAATGCGACCATTTTAGCAATTCAGTTACAATTCTGCGAGAGAATTTACAGTGTTAACATATTATAATGCGAGATGTAGAAGAAAGATTATATCAGACACATGATCAAATGATCATTGTACATTTAAATCATCCTTTCAAACAGAACAAATGCAGGTTTAAGAAAATTAAATGGAACTTCGAAATTTGAAACAAAGAAAGAATAAAAGGAAATGATAAAAGCTAGATAAAGAGTCTTTTAATTGTCTTCTTGTATTATACAATTATTCCTTTTAATATCATTTGTGCATAATGTGTACCTTTATGTCAGCTTTCCAAACGATGGATTTTTCTCCAAATGCAGTGATTCCTGTCTTTAGATTTTCAACTTTGGAGAAATTGATAAGTGACTCAACAGATTTTGCTGCAAACTCCAGGTCTACTGCCAAGAGGCCACAATCGGTTTGTAAAACTATCAGATCTCCCTAAAAACATCAAACCGTAAGTCTGAAAATAATTCTTACTGATATATTTTTCTAAACGAAGGTTTCAAAATTATGACCTACACTTTGAAAAATATATTTTGACTTGCATAAAAACTGATGTGTATAATAATTATGTGCAGCAATAAACACTGCATAAAAACGCACAACATGTATGTAACATATTTTTAGAAAATATAGTTATTTACCTGATGAAACATTCGTTCCACCAATCGCATGAACATTTCTCCTGTCAAATAACTAGGTGATACATACTTAATTCTTTCGTACAGAGTAGGACAGGAATGATCTACAGACATGTTATCCACAACTTGACAAATACCCTGAGATTTTAGTTCTTTCCTTGTACTCTCCACAACCCTAAGTAGGGTTTGTGGAAGTGAAAAGATTGGTCTCTGAAGGTCAATATGAGACAAGAATTTGTTCAAAATGGCCTTCTTCATGGCTTCGACTCCCTTTAAAGAAAGAAGCAGTTTTAAAAGAAATCAAGTAAGGCAGGAATGGGCGTTGTTCGATAAAATGCATTTGAGTAGAGTTACTTTAAATCAAAGCAAGACATTAAGAACTAGTTCAAAGTAAAAGGGTTACGTAATATTTTTATCTCACAAAATTTGAAGGTATACATGTACATTTGAGTAGGGTAGTAAAAATCAAAACATGGCCTTTCGAAAAAGTACAACGTTACGGCTTCATGTAATATATTTTTTCTCATAAAGTTATATCATAATCAACAAACATATTGTTCAGAATCTTTTTAATGTATAAAACATAGAATTATGAACCTCTTTAGTAGACAATTTCAAAGACAGGAATTTGACCCTCTCGGGAGATTTGGAAAGCTGGTCAATGTTTTCGATGGCTCTATGTAGTTCTGACAACCTCTGCTGGTGCTCAACATTTAAACTGTTCAAGTCTCTGTGGCAAAAAATCATAAATGAAATTTGAAAATAAAATTGATAAATTAGTACAGTATAACTGAGATTTAGATGTAAATTACTAAATATTTGTTGTTTCCATGTTTAAGGAAGCGTTATTGAAAGAAAAATTTTGCTTGAAACCTCTGACCAAATGGAAATCAACTGTAAAATAAACATGTTTTAGCATAGAGAATATCTTAAAATGTTGACACACAACTTCCAATTTCCCTCAATATTTACATAATTTAAATCTGGTTGTTACGCGTTATTTCATTGGGTAAAAAAACTTCATATTGTATAAACTATGTTGCCCATGTCATAATGGCCTGCATGAAAAAAGTATCGATCCACCTGAAGTTACAATCAAATTTTGTACAAAAATAAGGTTTTCTTAAGGGCAATCATTTCAGTTTCTTATATCAATGAATGAAAAAATAAATATATTAAACTAACCCCTCTAAGATCTTCATGTTTTCCTTTAATGACTGTATACAGGGAAGTTTGTCTAGAGACACCTTGTTTTTGAGAGCTGTGATGTTTGAACCACCAGTTACATCCACTACTGAAAACTCACAGCCAGAAAATCTTGGAACACTAGTCGGCAAGTTTTTCTACAATTTAAAACCTTCTTATATGTCTTCATTAAGGTATCTGGAAATTACAATTTTGTCTAAAAATATATATTTATGTAAAAATATGTATATGTAATTTAGTATCCTTGCCCTAACATATTTTTCATTTACATGTCAAATGTTGTAAAAGTTACCATATTTCATTTTCTGTTGCATTTTAAACAATATCTTTCTTTGTGTTCTTTTAATCAAAGGTGAGATAGGGAACTTGTATTCTTGATACAAAAGATGTGTTAGTGGAAAAAAACTGATGCTGTCGTGTTGCAGCTCAATGAAAAGGTGATTCTTTTTCGAATGCAGGTCAAAATCCATTATCAAAGTCAAAAACTCGAAAAATTGTATGAACCCCCAAAATTTCTTGACACAAGAAACACATACTTGAGACATGAAAGCACTAGAACCAACCTTTTAAAATGGCCAAGATTTAACTTTTTAAAAGAAGTTCATACTCAAAGGTTACATAGAAAGATGAATGGTACGTCGCAAGGAATTTGAACCATGAATATGAAAACACTAGCATCAAATGTTCAAAACTAATCTGCAAAGTTAAAGCTTTCTTTCACAGGTCAAGGTTTTGAGATCAAAAACATTACCCAAAGAAAGATCCCGTTACAAGACGCGCGATATATTTGAAAGCCCGAGCTCCCACCGTGGTAAAGTTATTGCCAATGTTATAGTATTTTAAAAAGTAGGTCAAACTTAAAGCTCTAGGCTAAAAGGTCAAAACTGAAGGTATCAAAAAAAGTCTTTTTATTCGGAATATACATGAAGAAAAGTAATAAACCTGGCGCATAAAAATCATGACCAAGGTCAAAGTTAGGGTTTTTTTTTTTTGCAAAAACGGGTCAAACTTTAAGGTCAAGAGTTTGAAAATGCTGGAACCAAAAGAAAGGCTTTTTCTCATGGAATATGCCTGTGAAATATTAAAGCCCTAGCTTTTGCACATCAAAAGTTATTAGTAAGGTATAAAGTTTTTTTGTGGATAAACAAACAGATTAACAGAAAAACAGGCAAACAGACTAACAAACGGACAGACTAAACCCTTATATCCCAATATCTTCAATTACGAGAGCATAAAATTTTAAAGGCGAAAAACAGTGTCTTTTTTGTGTACAAAATTATAAGTTTTACTGAAACATCATAAATACCTGGTCTTTGGGTTGAAATTCAAACTCGTTCCAGACTGTATCAGAGGTGAAACCGCGGATTCTCAGAATGGCTGAATTCGAATATTGAATGAAAAATGGGAATAAGTTATCGGACCTGTATGGCAATTTCTGCCTATGAATCTGCAAAATTAATAACAATGACAACATCTATTAATTTAAAAAATAGATGAGTTTATTGAAGAAAGACAACAGTGATGGTTTTACAAGCAAAGGGTGATAACTTGTACAACTAGCTTACTTAACGTCAGTCTTCGAGTGGGCGGGGAAAGGTAGTGTCATATAACGCGTTCTCAAACTAAATTTCCCTCTTTCTGATAACACACAGCCCTCGGGAAAGTTGATTTCATCACAAAGGAATTAAAAAGAGAAGTAATTTAGACAAAAATTTGAAGAGCTGTAAAAATGTTGAGAGCAAGAAAACAATCTGTTGCTGCTAGAGCGAAACTGAATGAAACCACAAAAGGAAAACGTGGTTTAAAGGAGAAAACCGAGGTCCCCGCCAAAAAGCCGAAGGTGGCCCAAGCAAAGGAAACACAGTCAGAGGAGAATGCTTCTTTGTCGGGTGAGGAAGTTTTACTAAATATACAAGAAACTGATTGTTCAGAAATGCCAAATCCATTAGTTAGCGTTAATGATTCCTTGGGTTACAATGTCTCAGAAAGTTTGAAACAAAAAATAATTGCAGGTCATTATGTTGATTTGGCACAGTTATTGACAAATACGAATTTAATAGACTCCCAGGAAAAAACTATTGTTTTCAAAAATGGGGAATTGGTCACTAAAGCAAAAAATGAAAAAAAGATAGATGATATAGCTAAGTGGACAGATGCGTTTATAATATACATGGGAGTCTATATAACTGCTCATCCTTCTAAGGCTACAGATTTATTAAAGTATATGCAAACAGTTAGGACTGGGGCTATGAGACATGGAGGTCTGGGTTGGAAAAGTTATGATGAACAGTATCGACTTAAAAAGAGCAAGAATCCCACAAGTAGTTGGGGGGTAGTCGATTCCGAACTTTGGTTGCTTTGTATGCTTGGTAAAGAAACAGAAAACAGCCAGGTCTCAAGACCATCTGGTAGGCAAAGCATGTCATCTTCTAAATGTTACGACTACAATTTTAAGGGAAGCTGTTTTAAATTTCCGTGTACCTACAATCATATCTGCATTAAGTGTAACGGATCACACCCGTTTTATAGCTGTTCGATGAATAATTCTGGGGGTTTTCGTACCCAAATGCAAAACCAGCCTCAACAAAACCAAACAGGTGTATTTCCCAGGTTTCCCTACGCGCGATTCAACAGACCAAGTATTAGAGCAAACAATGTTAGATCAAATGGTCAACGATTTATGGGCCCTAGGCAAAACGCCAATTAAATCTGACGTTTTGGAAGAATTATTGATTGAGTATCCTAAAAGGAAAGTAGCAGTAGAATTATATGAAGGTTTTACTAAGGGTTTCAGAATACATTATACCGGTCCGCGATTTCATGTGTTTTCAAAAAATCTTCTTTCGGCTAATGATTACAAAGTAGAAATTAGGGAAAAAATAATGAAAGAAATTAAATTGGGAAGAATTATGGGTCCTTTTAAATATTTACCGATCTCAAATATGCGCATTTCCCCCATCGGGGGAGTACCAAAATCGGATGGCTCAATTAGACTGATAACACATTTATCATACCCTCAGAAAACAAGCGTTAATGATTTTATCAGCGATGAGTTTGCTTGTGTGAAATATTCTTCGTTTGATAAAGTAATAGATATGATAGCAGATTTGGGAAATGGGGCGCTTATTGGAAAAATGGACATTAAATCGGCATTTCGCCTTTTACCACTGAATCCGGGAGATTTTGATTTGTTTGGTTTTTATTTTGAAGATAATTACTTTGTAGATAAATGCCTACCTATGGGTTGTTCGGAAAGTTGTAATTTATTTGAAAAATTCTCCACGTTTTTGCACTGGAAAATTGCTGATATAACAGGAATAAAATCTTTAGATCATTATCTAGACGATTTCATTTTTGCGGGTAGGAATAATACAGATGATTGCAAAATCTTAATGAGCAAATTTCAAAGAATGTGTTCAGACTTAGGTGTTCCAATTGCTCATGAAAAAACTATAGGACCGGTCCAGGTATTAACTTTCCTTGGGTTAGAAATAAATACTTTGCAAATGCAGGTAAAGGTGCCAAAAGAAAAACTCAATTCGCTGCGTGACGCGTTAGAAAGTTTGTTAGGGAGGAAAAAAGTCACACTTAAGGAAATGCAATCTCTAGTAGGAGGTTTAAGTTTTGTGTGTAGAGCTGTACGCCCAGGTAGAGTTTACCTAAGAAGGTTTTATGATGCTATGTCAGGAATTCGGGCACAACATCATCATATCCGTATTACAGAAGAATTGTCAGACGACTTAAGAACGTGGTTAAAATTTTTGGTCAATTTTAATGGGACACTTTACTTCCCAGAAAGTTATTGGTCAAGTAACCATTCTCTAGAATTATATACAGATAGCGCAGGGTCATGTAAGTTGGGATGCGGGGCGTATTTTGCTGGAAAATGGGTGTACTTTGCCTGGCCAAGATATTGGCATTTTAAAAATATTATGAGGGATATAACATGTCTCGAATTAATACCGATTTTGCTGGCAATTACATTATGGGGACCTGCATTATGCAACAAGAAAGTACTCTTTCGAACTGACAATAAAGCATTAGTTCAAATTATTAATTCTCAAACTTCTAAATCTAAGCGCATAATGTTTTTCCTAAGACCACTTATCATGAAATGCATGGAATTTAATTTCTCGTTTCGAGCGAAGTTTATTCAAGGCACAGTAAATAAAATTGCTGATTCTATTTCTCGTAAACAGTGGGGCCGTTTCCGTGGGCTAGCACCAAAGGCACAGAGATTCCCAGATCGAATTTCAAAAGAATTTCTTCAGCTGATATACGACAGGAAGTTAGCAATCTGCTGACCGCATCCATATCAAAGAACACGCAGGAAACGTACACTACGGCACTAATTAAGTTTGACAATTTTAGATTAAAACAAAACATTGAGCCTTCCTGGCCGCCAAAGTTGTCAGACATAGTAGAATTTATAGCAGCGTCATCTTTTGAGGGATTGGCGTATTCCACAATACGCACATATGTCTCAGCAATAAGTTTCAAGTGCAAGTTAAACAATTCTGATGACCCCACCCACAATTTCATTATATCTAAAATGTTAGAGGGAAAAAAGAGAATAAGCGCAAAGCCTGACTCACGTTTACCTATAACCTCAGAAATTCTTTCAACAATTATCAATGGACTTCATTTGTCTTGTAGAGATTCCTATGAAACGTTATTATTTACTTCAGCTTACACTTTGGCATTTTTTGGTTGTTTTCGTGTTGGGGAAATTGTCTCATCAAATAAACAGACTAAAGGCATTGTAGGTATTAAAGATGTTAAGATCCAAAAAGATGTCTCACTTAAAATAAGGTTGAAATATTGTAAAACGGACCAATGTGGGAAAGGGACAGAAGTTGTACTTTCCGCCATAGGGGGGCCCTTATGCCCAGTAGAAAATTTACATCGATATTTACTGATACGCCCTTCCTCCGCAAGGGGGCCATTGTTTTGTCATTTTGATGCTTCTCCGCTTACAAGACATCAATTTACAGCTGTACTTAAGAAAACGCTTAAGCTTTGTAACATAGAGTCAAAGCATTACAAAACACACTCATTTAGGATAGGGGGAGCAACCGCATTGGCAATTGTAGGATATTCAGAAGACGTAATAAAAACATCCGGCAGGTGGAAGTCTGCAGCCTATAAGTCATATATAAGAATACCACGTACACAAATTCCTTCAATAGTATAGAATTATCTTAATTTTATTTTGTGTTTTATCTTTTATACAACACTAGCTTCTCGTGTATGGTGTGTGGGTTCTTCAATCATCAGATGGGCTTTTATGTCATCAGTATTAAGATCGGGTGGACAAAACCTTGGATTAGAAAGGTTAGGTATTCAGATATGGTGGCAGGGATATTCAGGCCTTAGTTTAGGTACTTTAAAACAAAAACTAAGTCATATTTCACGTTTTGAAGGTATACCTGATTGTCTTATTCTTCACTGTGGGGGCAACGACCTCGGAAGCAAACCACTTTATGAACTCAGAAATTTAGTTTATTCCATTGTTGAATTTATTTTGAAAAAGTTCAAGGGAACAAAACTTATCTGGTCACAAATTTTACCAAGAAACAACTGGAAATTTTCAAAAGATATTCATGCTATGGAAAGAGCTCGTATTCGGCTTAACAGTTTTGCAGCTAATTTAGTTTTGAGAAATGGGGGGATGTATATAAAATATAATGACATTAAGAAAAATCACAAGGAACTATTTAGGGAAGATGGGGTACACTTGTCAGATTTGGGTAACAGTTTATTTTTAAACACGTTACAGGGAGCTTTGGAAAAGTTTAGTCAGGGAGGGGGGCCTGTTTACCCGGATAATTAGATAGGAGGTGGGCACAGGCTAATATAGGGTGCCACTTCCCCACTTAGGTGGCGGTGGACATCAAATAGTTGAGGTTTGATGTCCATGTGGCGGATTGCGTGGCACCTTTATTATTATCAAGAAAGGAAAATGAACATTTGCAAAAAACTCTATGACATTTATCAAACTTTGACCGCCGTTTCCCGGGGTCAAGGTAACTTAGAGTAATTTACGTGAAATTGTTAATCAGCGTCCGCCGTTTCCCGGGGTTATGCTGATTAAGGTTGCTTAGTTGTTGAATAATGTTGATGTTGACTGAACAGTTGAAGTTCAGATATGTGTTGAACAGTTGAAATACAAACGTGTTGAAGTTTGTAATTTGTATTGAACAGTTGAATTTGAACATTGAGTTGATGTTGTGATGTTGATATGTTGTGGCTTGCCCAAGTTGAAATGGCAGCCAAATTTAAATTTATAATACAATGCCGTGCCCACTTATACGCCACAGTAAGGGTATATATTATAAATTCAATAAATATACAATGATTTGTGTTGTTGTCTTTTCTTCGATAATGACAACATCTATTAATTTAAAAAATAGATGAGTTTATTGAAGAAAGACAACAGTGATGGTTTTACAAGCAAAGGGTGATAACTTGTACAACTAGCTTACTTAACGTCAGTCTTCGAGTGGGCGGGGAAAGGTAGTGTCATATAACGCGTTCTCAAACTAAATTTCCCTCTTTCTGATAACACACAGCCCTCGGGAAAGTTGATTTCATCACAAAGGAATTAAAAAGAGAAGTAATTTAGACAAAAATCCCTCCACACCCACCCTATACAAAAGAGATGATAGACTGTAGATAAGGAATTAGATGCATTGTGTTCTTTCTCTTGCTGCTGCTTCTTTGGCTCTTTGTTTCAGATGAAGTACTTGAAAGTCTGTTTTCACTATGAAGAAATCGGCACGGAACTAAAGAGACGAAAAGGATCGATTCCACTTGGACGTTTCATTATTCGTCATGGGTATTCCAGCGACTTCTATTTCTGATGATGGAATTTATTCGCACGGGATATGCGGATTGCGTGGCACCTTTATTATTATCAAGAAAGGAAAATGAACATTTGCAAAAAACTCTATGACATTTATCAAACTTTGACCGCCGTTTCCCGGGGTCAAGGTAACTTAGAGTAATTTACGTGAAATTGTTAATCAGCGTCCGCCGTTTCCCGGGGTTATGCTGATTAAGGTTGCTTAGTTGTTGAATAATGTTGATGTTGACTGAACAGTTGAAGTTCAGATATGTGTTGAACAGTTGAAATACAAACGTGTTGAAGTTTGTAATTTGTATTGAACAGTTGAATTTGAACATTGAGTTGATGTTGTGATGTTGATATGTTGTGGCTTGCCCAAGTTGAAATGGCAGCCAAATTTAAATTTATAATACAATGCCGTGCCCACTTATACGCCACAGTAAGGGTATATATTATAAATTCAATAAATATACAATGATTTGTGTTGTTGTCTTTTCTTCGATAATTAGAATTTAACTGATATTATTTTATTTTTCACCCACTAGTGAGAAAGATTAAACATTAAAGCATTGCTATGCTTATCAAATTAAAGATATGTTATTATTTCACTGACAATACAATAGGATAAAAGATGAAGATATAATAGAAGGTAATAAAGCCCAAAAGTCCCAAAGAAACAACATAAATTTGGAGTAGAACAATTATCCATGAATGCATCAGAGGTAGGTTCAGATGTAAGCAACACTTTTTATTCACAACACATTTTTTCAGTAATATCAGTAATATTACTAATAAAAATGATTAAATTTTTGGTACTGACATCCTAATTACATTTTTAAACAAGGAATATTTTGCTCATCATATTAGTCATGTTATGGCGTCAGTGTCTTGAAATGCTATGAGTCCTTTACTATGGTAAAATTAGTTTAAAAGAATTCTGATTTTCCCCGAAATAAAATCAAAGGTTTCTTAACATACCCACCACTTTGATGTGACTTCCAATTCGTCTAGAAATATTAATGATATTCGAGATATTATTGGTTGAGAAACTGAAGTTCAATTGTGTATGTAATTCTTACCTCTTTAGTATTAATGGTGAAGAAGACATCCACTTCAGAATTCTCGACAAGTTTCCCATCATCTCCAAATTTCCCTTCTAAGCCACAGCCAACTACATCACCAGTCTCAAATTTCAAAGTCTCTGAAGACTTTTGGACATCCATATGAAACACTCTACAAAGATTTTTATTTTCTACCTCTCAAAAAGATGTTCTTCGTGATTCATGGGATAATTAGGTCATGATAAATACATCCATATCTTTTTGTCATCTCTCTCTTTCTTTTCTTCTCTCTCTCTCTCTCTCTCTCTCTCTCTCTCTCTCTCTCTCTCTCTCTCTCTCTCTCATTTTCTCTCTCTTTCATACACACAAAACTTTGATTTGTAATATTAAACACCCTATTGTGTGTCATCTTTACAGGTGAAACAATGATCTATATCCTACGAATAATTCTCTTAAGCTTTTTCAGAAAAGCAGTTTTTGTATTTTTGGAGGGTTTTTTGTTTTTGTCTTGTTTTGTTTTGTTTTTTATTTTGTTTTTTTTTTTTGGGGGGGGGGGGATTGTTTGGTTGGTTGAATTGATATTAAGGAAAACGAATCAAATATAGTTATAAACATATCTTCAATACATTATCATTTTATAAATTTAGTAAATATTTCTTAAATAAATATATCCTAGTTTAAAAAAAATCACAAAAAATTACGTATAAAAAATAAAGCTTACTTTCCGGTTCCAGCTGAGTTACTTGTGCAGAACATAATTTCATATCTAGATTTCCCTATGGTATCTGAGGTGTCAGGCATATTGTGTGTAAGGCCAAGGCCAATTTCACCGTCGTTTCCACTGGCGATGACCTCCATTTCAAAGTAGGTCAGCTTGGGGTTGATGGCAGTTCTAGAGACCATATAGGGACAACTTCCATCGTGTCTGTTAAAGGATGTTAGTAAATTTATTTGAAATCATATATATGATCTATTTCGTCTACCGGATTATTATGGTCGGCTCAATTGCGGGTCTGACAGGTCAACAAGGGATGCTTACTTTTCCTAGGCACCTGATCCCACCTCTGGAATTTCCAAGAGTCTGTATTTCATGCTTTCTTCACAGATTTGTTTTTTTTAAAGATTTTTTAGAGATCGATCACTGTTCGTTATCTTAAACCTTTTCATCCAGCTCATCTCCATAATGTATTAATTGTCTTTTAAGAAGGTTTATTGCGCCTACAGTTCGCATTTGGGAGTCCTTTGTAATCTTGATCATGTAATAATATTTATAACCAATCTTGCTTCATAAAATAATAATTTCCTTGTGCATCTCTGCTTGAGAGTTTACAAGAGATATCTAGAATACAAACACTTTTAAGATATGTTTTGTCCTTGTGATTTATTGATTTTTTTTTTACTATATTACAAACTAATAAAATATATTTATAATTTCTAATTTACAACGTTTCGGCATGAGCAGCATGAATGAAGAGACACAATTAGTCGAAATGCGCATTAAAATTGGTTCCGAAGGTGATTAACATAGATGTATTTTTTTTTTAAATTAAATTCCTTTACTTTTTGTTTCGTGCTTTATAATTTAAAGGTTTTAAAAACATAGTTTTAAAATTATAATTGCCGCTTAACATTTTTTTCCAGAGAAAAAAAGGTTCGAATCCAGTTTATTAAATAGAAATCTATGAATGATCAATGTAATTTTTAGCAAAAAATCTTCATTCAAATACTGATGGGGTTCGTTTTTTTCATCGTTTAAGCATGTGTATGCACGGGTTATCATAGGAAAACATGTTTTTTCTACAGAAAAGGAATGAACTACCATCTACATGTACGATAGTTGCTTTTTGCTGAGAATTCATTGTTATGTCCTTATAAAGTATTGTGCATTTTAAGAGGGCTGGGTGGTTGTGGTCATTTTCAGATTATATTGATCTCCTTTAGAAGAAGAGCTCTATATAAAGATATACAAAAATGATCAAATTTTAAAACTAAAATGTATGAAATTTTTGTTTGCCAAATGATAGTTGACAGCTTAACGCAGCTCTGTTAAGGCTGCATAAAGGGGGCGGGGCCTAATTTATTCGGGAAAAGCTTACTGTGACATCACACAAATATAGCAATTCCTCATAATAACAGAAAATGAAATAATTTGCGAATCTAAGCTACATAAGAGTAATGAACTACATCAAAACTTACCACTGCATTCATTTTTGTCGCTAGCTAAATCCCACACAGCAAGATATAAACAAGTCACTGATCGCAATGAACCTGTTGACATGACGTCATCATGGTAAAGTTTGGCGCATTTTATGTGCAGTGAGACGCGGATCAAGTAATTTTTTCACAGTGAAAAATGCATTTTATTATTAAACAGAATATTATTTGAAAATCTTAGGTAGACTATTAAGACAGATCTGAAACGTTTGTTTAGTGCCATTATTTAAAAAATATCGAGAGAATGTATTGAATTAATTCTACCGTGTTTTTGTCTACAGGGTGTGCATCTTTCACGCCGAGGTGCCTCGTTAAATCGCCTTTTCGCAAGGGCATACACTTAATAGATCTTGACTATTTTTTGAATACACATAATGGACATATTCCTTAACTTGAAAAGTGCTGCTGCTTTCCTGAAATCGATAGCATAACTTAAGAAATACATAAAATACTTGGTAAAGGTCACACATATTTCAACATTAGCAAGATAACTTGAAATTTAAACTAATAAAATGCGAATTCTATTTAAAGCAGCAGCACTTTCCATAAACTACAAGTTATGTAGAAACAATCTATTACTTTAATTTTTAATTTTAACTAGGGTATGCCCTTGCGATATTGAAATTTGTTTGTGACCTACATACAGTACACATTCTATGCATTTATCACGTGACTATCAAATAACGTGACCAAACCAAATTCAGTACAGAGCGGGGTATACAATGTTATTTCAAAGAATGTTAAAGTCATAAGATAATATAGTACCTTTACAAAATTAAAATTCAGTTTAAAAAGGTATGTATTTATGCACGTTTATATTCTGTTGATTTCTTCGAAGTACGCCTTAACAGTGCTGCGAAGATATCATATCTAAAAAATTAAGTTATATCTGATGGTTAATTTATTGACCACCCAGCCTCCTTAAACTCCAAAAACTTACGCTGAAAAGTATCATTGTAATATTTGGTTGATATGAAGATAAGTTAATAGTTTGTATTGACATTCTTATTTTTGTTCTGATTCCTGAACGTTAAATATCCATGAAAAGATGTTAAGTTCAGTATTGTTTTTTAATTATAAAAAGTTACAGGTTTGTAATTTAAAATGATGAAATAAATTAAAAGTTATTTGACATATTATTTGGAATTAAAATTTACGTCACATAATCACTATGAGGTTAATGCATAAAAGGCAACAAATTTTATATTGATTTACAACTTGAGATTTGTACTTGAGCCTATTTCCAAAACAATGATTGTAAAAAAAAAATATAACTATCATGTGATTAAAAATAATTTCAATACAGAATGTAGTTTAATATGGAAGAAAAATATGAGTATTTTAGAAACTAAAAGATCAAAATTTTTGTTACAACTTCGATGAAAAAGGAAAGTATTTAACTGACAGAAATAACAGCGCAAAAGAGGCAATATCAGACTGAACATACTTAATGCTAATAAACTATAGAAGTACCTCCAGACAACACAAAGTTTACAATTAATTTATACTAAGTATTGAAATAATGATCGAATTAACCAGAACAATAATTTATTTTGACCATTTGCTTCGGAACATAATATTAATGAGCATAGACATGGTCTTACTTATTCAGAAGAACTCCATCATCATAAATCTGCAATCCTCTTTGTATTGCTGGAGTGATTTTGTTGAACTCTTTCACCTACGATACAATAAAAAAATAGAGTTACAATAGATCCTTGTTTAACTATACTACAATATACATACAATAAACATATATATTTTTATCAAAAAGATAGAAAAAGATGTAGTCTATATCTGTATATTCAAATCAAGGATGGCCTCATTAAGTTAAATCCAGACCATATTAACGCTAATAGATGGAGATATTCAATAATTTTTTTTAATTTTAAAATAAGTTTTTAATACGCAGACCATTTTAAAACATGTTACATAATATCAAACAACAAAATTGCTGCAACAAATCTTTAATCAAACAATCAATGCTAAGCTAAACTATCACAATAAAATTGCAGAAATAATTCAAAAATATATTGATTTAACTCCATGCATGCATTGTAGGAAAAAACCTTATGTTGAAAAAATTTTCGGGTAAACATTCATAAATCTTTTATTTTCGAAATTATTTGGATACTGAGAAGTGCCAAAATACCGGAAACTCATACTTTGAATATTGACAACTTGGAAATAAACAAAACCAATTCATAGAGTGAAGGGCTTTGAACACGTGTTGATTGAAAACTTGATCATTTAAGATATACACATTCAAATCTCGAAGTATTTCGATTGGGACATCTTTTTTCTAAATATGAGGATAATTTTTAATTAAATTCTTAGATTATTTCAAAAGAGAAAGTATGTAACAAATTATTGGGAAAATAAACTTGCCCATCAAAGCAACATTAGACTGCCTCAAATTATAAATCAACATACATTTAAAAGAAGAAGCTACTTCACTTACTGGAGGCCTATAATGCGGCTGGTAGTTCAGTAGTTGAACTCTTCGTTCATTGGTACTGTGGGATGAAAGAAACACATAAACACGCTCTTCTGGAAGTCCGCCTTTAAAGCTAAAGGTGTAGTCTGTCTGACAAAGCTAGAAAAATAAATAGTTAAGTCTCGTTATCTCAAACTTGAAGGAACCGATTAAAAATTTCAGGAAATTTGAGAATCAAAACATCTATGTAAAAAATACCAAAGTTTAATGTAAATTCTCTATTTCCCTTAACAAATTATCAATATTTTAAAACATTTATTGGCACCCAATGATACAATGGATTAAAAATCAAAATGGAAATCTTTGGTAACAAAACACACTGATATGTTAATTTCAACATTTTTAGTAGCCTTATTATGTTTTAGCATCTCTTGGTCGGCAGGGGATGCTCACTCTTCTCTGGCACCTGATCCCACCTATGATGTTTTATAGTCCGTATTCGCTATGCTCCTGATTTGTATTTTGAGCTTAAATACTATTCGCTTGGATAATGTTCGTTATCTCTATATAATTCATTGTAAACTTCCATTCAAGTAGTTTTTAATAAATACTCCCATTGCAGAGAAGACTGGACAGTACTCAATGTAAGAAAATAAGCAGGTAGTTTTGGAGGACCACTTTCCTTCCTTACATGGCAATTGATTACTTACAAGCTTTCCATTTCTCAATATTTTGACAGGGAACTCTTTGGTATCATGAAATGTGATTGGTTGCCGCTCTATCTCCCATTGAAACTTGATCTCATCCCCCACTGCTAATTTTGTTGGGGAAGGTACCAGATTCACAGAATCTCCTTGAGTTTTACACCTCACTCTGAAAAAGAATATGCATGTATTATCATCTACATGTAAATATTGATGCTTTACATTGACAACTTTGATTTACGGAACAGTCATTTTAAGAATCAACTACTTGGTAAATGTATCATTTATGTTTTGAAAAACTTTTTTGTCTTTAAGCCCCATACAGTGAGAGAATTTAAATTAAAATAAAGAATGTTTGCTTAATTTTTTGTATACATTTTTTTCATTTTAAAAGCATCAACACTCACTCTCCATTGTGTCCATGTAGGACAAGATAACATGTGTATGAGTTTTGCAGGTATCCCTCAACTACGAGACCAACTTTTATCTTAAAATCCCCTGGATCCTCCACTACTTTTACAGTAAAAGAGGTGTTTGGAGTGTCCTTCGTTCCAACAGGTTGTTCGGACAGGAAGTGTGCGTCAGATGTTTTGTTGGCATGTTTGTTCATACTAAAAATAATTCATTACAGTAAAACTCAGTTATAATGAGGTTTACTGGGACTTCCGAGTGTACTTTACTATTGATAAAGATCCTTTATGTCTGTTTTCAACTTAATCAAAAGATAATCATAATGGGATTTAAAAAAAATTCCAAATAACAGAAAGAGCTAGGTTCACTTTATGCATAAAATGGCCCTGTCCTTATATCAATTAATTGACTATCACCCTCTGTTCCATTTCACATATCAAAATAAAGTAGAGACTTAGTGCTTTCATTTCTTATAAGAAATCTTTTTTTGAGAATCCAGGTATTGGAAAACAGGCTTTGAGAAAATGCAATGTTCTTGAATTTTGCAGAAAAAAATGCGTATTTGACTACCATCAGCAAAGAATTAAAATATGAGCACAGCCCACGATCCAAAAATTAAAACATGTTTTGTGATCTTCAGAAACAGACCTTTCATTACTCAATTGAATATTTTGGATCAGAGGTTGTGCTCTATATGAAATATTGAAAAAATACCTCATCTTTTGGTCATTTTTAAGGGAATTTAGAGGAAATTGGGAAAATGACGCATTTTATGACGTCATAATGCAATGACTAGAGAGAAAATTACGTCATGTCCAATAGATACACGGTCACCAAGGGTCCAAGTTATAAATACTGCATTTTCAACCAAAACTGAGCAGTTTCGATTTTTCAGAAATTCTCAGGGCCAAAAAAGGCCTTAAGTGGCTCTTGCTCTTTCCTTATAACTTAGTCCTCTATAAACGAGTTTTACTGTACATTTTTTCCTTCACATGAGGATTATATTACAAAAAGATTTTAGCTGAATCGAATTTATTCAGTAAAATTCTCCAATTTGACATATGTGTAGCCTTTAAGCTATGAATTCCAACCTTTATTTATTCACACTTTACTACCACATTCCTTACATTATGCAATACATGTACGACACAATGTTTTTTTTTTCTGCGATGCACATTATTTTTCATTGTGTATGTTAGATTAGACATATTTCGCAACAGTATATCTCAAAAACGATCAACGTTAGAACTGACAATGAAACAATTAGTTATAAATACCTTATAATCCCAGTATTATTGATCACACAGAAATCAGTATAACAGGGGCGGATCCATCTTTGCTCCTTTTTATAGGTGTTCATTAACTCCTGTTTTAAAAGTATATGTTTTTCTGTCAAACCGACTTTTAGTAAGACATTGAACTCAACAATACCAATCATCGATAAATAAGATTCTTGGAGTCTTTCCTGATTTCATTTGACTTTCATAGTGTCACAAATCACTAGAGAATGCTTTTTAATTGATACCATATATCTGCATTTCATAAAATTGGTTTAAAAAATAAATATGATTTTATATAACAGAGTGAACTGCAGGAAAACTTGTTGCTTATATCTTTTATAACCACTCATGATTTCAATCTTAAAAACAGTTTATTATTCCACTATTATAACTGTATCATAAAAGGGTGAGATATTGTGATGTAAAAGTGTTTCACTCACTTTCATATACATGTAATACAACTAATTTTACTAGCATGTCTAAAATTGACTTATGTTTTTTATGGATTTATAACGTATTTCCATGTGTGAAATGTTTAAATAAAGGTATATAGAACTAGACTCTAGAAAAATTTAGATACGAACTGCTGGTGGAGATAGGTGTGGCAATTTGAACTGACAAGTAAAGTGGCTATTTATGGCAAGACATGGATAATAGAACCTGTTGAAAACTAAATCCTCTGGATTTCCTTCATACTTGACCTGCAATAAAGACAATTACTAGTGTTTATTCTATCTTGTGTCAAAGATTCGACTTCAACTTAAAAACTGAAAAAGTGTATCATCTTTTGAAGGAAAAATTCCTATTCTATGAAAAACAAAGTTTAATAATAAGTCACTCAGAATCTTTGCATAAAATAATGACTTTTTATTACAATTCAGTTTTCATTGTTTCCTCCACTTGCTCCGGTTCTAAAAGATACATAACTAACATTTCAACAGTGTTTAGTCATTACTTCAAACTCTTTTCTGTAGAATTTAATGCAGTTTTCAACTTTGAACCAATAAGGGTAAAAGTGTGGAATCATCTTAAGACAATATTTCAAGTGTATTTCACTATTCATATACCTTAGCCCTGTAAAGTGGAGCAGAAAATTAAAATTGAAAGAGTGAATGTATTTTTTTTACCTGTACAATATCCCCCATCCACCCCTGTAACTGAATTGTGCTGTTTATAATTAACATACCTCAGTCCCATTGTGAGTGACAAAGAGCTTGCAGGAGGAGCCAGCATTATATTCTGATTCCCATTCTCCACGAATTCCAAAACCAAAGGTGTCCCCTTTCTTCACATTCTTAAGTGAAAACCTTTAAACAAATTTAAATATATATCTGTTTAATGGTAAAGGGACATTTAAATAAACGCACTGAAGACCTCAAATAATGGAATGACCTGACTTCCCTTGGCATAGACTAGCCCAAGGGTATATAAAGCGAAGCTTTGGGGAAGTCAGGCATTCAGAAGTTAGCTGAAGAAGCCGACAGCTGAATCAGAAGCGGCAAAAGAGTAATTAAATAAAGAAGTAGTAAGGGTAAGAATAGAAGCCATAGAATAGAAGCACCAGTGGTAAGTAATCCTAGGGAATTGATGTTAAGTTCTGGGTGTAGGAAATCTGAAGAAGATTGATACACCCAGTTCTTTCCTATCAATAGGAACCTTGGAGGAGAAACACAGTGCAAGAAGCATACCCAGTCCCCGTCTCTAGATAAGAGGAACAATTTTTAATACTGTGTGATTTACCCTCAGACAGAGCAGTCTTATCAATCATTGTAATTATAAACTCAGACAGAGTAAGAGGAAAACTTAGTATATATATATCCCTTGTAAGAACCCAATCATACACGTTACATTTTGGTGGCAGCCGGTCAAGGGATAGAGTACAAGGCGTTTTCTGATTAAATTTTAATTGTTGTCTGATTTACTTTGTATTAAAATTTTTAACATTTGTGATAGTATTGACACCAGTTACAGTGAATAAGTGATACCGGGTGCTTCAGAATTAGTATATTGACACCAGGTGCTGTGAACTCAGTACAGTGTTACACAGTATTGTGAAATCAAGTGGCGATACCTGGTGCTATTGACACCTGGTGCTGGGAACTCGGTGCAGTGTTACCAAGTGCTGTAAAGCCAAGTAGTGATACCAGGTGTTGTGTACCAAGTGTAGTGGTACCAAGTATATTGTAATTGGGTGTAGGGTATTAAATTTATCAATACTGGGCATTTTTAGAATTAGAATATTTAGAATTAGTATAGTTCTTGTGATAATTGAACGAGTATGGACAATATAGAAGCTGAGCTGTACGCTGATCTCAGTGCAATTGATGCTAGAAGAGAAAAACTGAGAGAAACATTAGATAGGCTGAAGTCAACGCCCCAGACTACAAGGTCAAATGTAGTTCCAGACTCCGGGGTAGATGTTAGAGACAAACTATTAGAAAATAGTTTATATGAATTGATATCAAAATCGTCCAGTAACCGTGGCACGGAGGGTGCAACTAATATGAGGGACACCTTTGATCATGTTGATTACCCTCAATCAGGTTACGCGCTGTATGGAGAGGATGAGCATAGGGGCATGAGAGGAGACAGTAAAGCCAGTAAATATGACTTACTGAGGAAAAGTTCCATCAGACAGCCTGTGTTTTCCGAGGCACGATCCACACCTGGTTTTCCTTGGTGTACTTCAGGTGCTACAACGACGACAACTAGTGTAACCTGGACAAAAGGGCTAGGTACCGGAACTGGCTCTCATATTGGGTACCATCAAAATCCAAATGTGAGTATGCAGGGCACACAAAGTAATGATGGAGGAGGTTCATATGGTAAAACTGTAATGAAACCAGCGACGTACGACGGAACCGGGTCTTGGATAGACTATAAAGCTCACTTCGAGGCGTGCAGTGATATAAACATGTGGAATGCACACCAGAAAAGTTTATATCTTGCAGCGTCATTGAGAGGACAAGCACAGACTGTCCTTGGTAATATGAAGGGAGGTACGGCTTGCACATATATGGATTTATGTGATGCATTAGAAGATAGATTTGCACCAGCCAATCAAACAGAGCTGTATCGGGCAATGCTGAGAGATAAACGACAGAAGGTGTCCGAGACATTACCGGAGCTCGGTGAAAGTATAAGACGCTTGGCTCACCTAGCTTACCCGACAGCACCTAGAGAAGTAACCGAGATGATTGCTAAGGATCAATTTGTTGATGCGTTGACAGATTTTGATATGCGCTTACGCATTCAACAATCACGCCCTAAATCTTTAAATGATGCTATACGTTTGGCGGTTGAAATTGAGGCTTTCTGTAGAGCCGAACGCCAACGTCGGCATGATGTCGGTTTCGCAAGAGGAGCAACTAGAGATCAGGAAAATAACAGAGAGTCTCATAAAGACTCAAGTGTGAGAGATGAAATGAAGCAGCTACGTAATGAACTGCAGGAATCATTAAGAAATTTAGAAAGGAAAATTGCAGACATGGCTGTATCGAAAGAGACCCCGAGACCACCCAGTTCTAATCAGTTATTGAAACCAGATGCTTTTCCATACAAATGTCACAACTGTGGAAAGCGTGGTCATAGAATTAAAGACTGTTGGGTAAAGAATAAGCAAATTAGTGAGAGGGTACAGAAATCAGAGTCAAACGATGAATCAAAAAGTTGCTCAGAGACTCAAACCCGGAACAAAAGCAGTAAAGTTGTATCTAGTACAACTGCGGTCAAGCAAGGACAATTCAATAAAGAATCTGGCTTATTCCTCAAAGCTTTTGTGAATCATGTGCCATGCAATCTGTTGGTTGATACCGGGGCAACCTTGACAATTCTAGCAGATAGACTATACAATAAAATAGAGAACACAGGAGATTGTAGACTAGAACCTGTAAATCAAAGTATACTAGGTGCAGATGGAACACCCCTGAATGTCCGAGGAAGAGGGGATTTTTCACTTCGACTTGGTGATAGTAAATTTGGATGCCATGCTGTTGTAGCAAATATTAAAGCTGATGGTATTCTGGGTCTAGATTTCCTGAAGTCTTGGAAATGTCTTTTAGATGTATCTGAGAGGAAAATGTACGTTCATGGGGTGGAACATGAATTGCAGTTACAAGGACATATTGGATGTTTCCGTGCTAGTAAATCAGAGACAATATCTAGACTTAATGGAAGGGAAGTCATATGCTCAGGTCAGTTATCACATCTAAAGATAGTAACAAAGAGGCCAAAGTTGTTAAATCAGGGAAAAGCCAAAGCAAGTGTTCATATTATTCCTCATGAAAATTTGGCTTGTAGTGTGTCTGAGAATAACAAAAGAAAGTTTAAATGTGAGCAGTGTGTTCTAATATTCAGCAAGAAGACCGTTCTTACAAGACACATGAATAGAGTACATTACTGGAAAGAGCCAGAAGAAACCGTAGAGTTAGTGCCAGTGGAAAAATCTCCAAGGAAGTCCCCTGAAAGTGCAGATGATGATTGGCAGGAGAATCCAGTAGAGCTTAATTTTGAGGAGACAGAATTAGAGGTTGGAAGAACGCATAGAAAGAGGACAGCTCCTTGTTTACCAGGAGTGAAAAGGCGAACTGTAGAAACAGTTACCCAGGGTTTGTTTGAGGTTGAAACAGACGATGAACAAATGAGCAACACGACAGTTACTAAAGAGGTGTCCTCAGATATTCAGCACTGTTCTTGCTGTAAAGTGAACTGTGTAACAACTGACGTCGGAACGCAGACAGAGCTAAAGTTGGATACAGCCAGGACCAAGAGTCATCAGAAAACAATACGTGTTCTGAAGAAGTATCAGAAGGATGGTGAATCAGTAGAAAGACTAGAAGAAGACATCTGGTTTGACTGAGCAATCTAAATGATATGTATATTGTGATTCTATGCAGTTACTGCCTGGTAACCTAATTTTGGTGCATGTGTTAAAAAGGGCTTTTTGTAATAACAGTTTCTTATAACGTGTTTCTTGAATACAAGATAGTTTCAGGATATGTAAAAAAAAAAAAAAAGCAAACCTTAGTTTTGAATCAAATCACATGCGAGACGCATGATATCAGAGGCGTGGGTAATGTAATGGTAAAGGGACATTTAAATAAACGCACTGAAGACCTCAAATAATGGAATGACCTGACTTCCCTAAAGCTTAGACTAGCCCAAGGGTATATAAAGCGAAGCTTTGGGGAAGTCAGGCATTCAGAAGTTAGCTGAAGAAGCCGACAGCTGAATCAGAAGCGGCAAAAGAGTAATTAAATAAAGAAGTAGTAAGGGTAAGAATAGAAGCCATAGAATAGAAGCACCAGTGGTAAGTAATCCTAGGGAATTGATGTTAAGTTCTGGGTGTAGGAAATCTGAAGAAGATTGATACACCCAGTTCTTTCCTATCAATAGGAACCTTGGAGGAGAAACACGGTGCAAGAAGCATACCCAGTCCCCGTCTCTAGATAAGAGGAACAATTTTTAATACTGTGTGATTTACCCTCAGACAGAGCAGTCTTATCAATCATTGTAATTATAAACTCAGACAGAGTAAGAGGAAAACTTAGTATATATATATCCCTTGTAAGAACCCAATCATACACGTTACATCTGCAATGAAAACTAAACATTATGAACCAAAAGACAGTTTGCACATTCATCAAGAGTTAACAGTATTAGATTTTCTCAAATTTTCTGGGTCAATTATGGCTCTTGGCGAATCATAGTTTTCTTGTCAAACAGTTTGTACATTATTGCTAAATTAAAAACACATATTTGGAAATTTCATCTTTAAATCCCTATTACCCTTAGTATTGAATGCCCCCCCCCCCCCGTAACTGTGTGTGATATCAATTCTATAGACTATTCTTTCTTTACCTGTGCACCATAACATTTTTGGCTTCTGTTCTCGATATGCGATTATAGTAATTTCCTGGTTTAGCAAACATTTTAGCGTAGTAATAATCTCTGACACAACCAATCAACAGCTCATCTGGTAGTTCTCCATCCAGAAACTTTAGTAATGCATTGTCTAGGAAAAGATATAGAAAACATGAAAATGGAGATACCGAATAGTACTCAAGCTCAAATTCCATTCAAACAATACAAATCAGGAGCAGAGCAATCATGGACCTCCAAAAACATCAGGGGTGGGACCAGGTGCCAAAGAGGAGTAAGCATCCTCTGTCGACCGGTCACATCCGCCGTGTGCTCCTTGTCATAATCGTGAGAACAGAAAAATCAGCAGAAATTTCAGTGTATAAATAATGGCCTAACAATTAGTATGAAAAACGTCGATCAGGATTCACCTAATGATTTACATTTAATCTTGATAACAAGACGGTAAATGTGTGTGTGTGTGTGTCAAAAAATTCAAGCTGACTCTAAAATAACTAATCTTTTTGTCCCAAAAATTCGTAAGTTTTTCACTTAAGTAAGATAAGTTCTCTGTGACTGTTCATATTAAACTCAAAATATTTTTACTGTCAAAGAAAAAATCAAAACCTTTTTTGATGAACTGAACTTGGAAGTATGGATGAGACTTCGTAAAAAATGTTCTGGAGAGAAAGCAGCCGTCAACCTCCTTCTCTGCCTCTGTTACTGGCCAGTTTCTAAGAAACAAAACAATCAATTTCAAACAAAAGTAAAAAGTCAGTTTAAAAGTTATCTTCTAAATGTACATTTAAAAAAGATCGATTCTTTATATTGTCCATCAAATAACCTTCATATAACAGCTTAATAAAATCATTTCAATATTTTTATAAAGGTTACAAGACTTCTGAATTGATAGGCTGAGCTGAGAAAATGTAATAAGTCATTCATTCTCAATTCAACCGTCTCCTCCATTGAAAACTTATAGATAGTAGATGTAAGTATTTGTAGTTTAGAAAAAAATGCACATGTAGTGTATATTTCATACGTGCACTATTGTTTACAGTTTAGAAAAAAAAAATGTACTGTGAAAATACTAATCTTAATTGAGGTTTAATTTTCATTATTTTCGTGGTATAATCGAAATGTAAAGAAAGTATCATTTTCATTTCTTCAACCATGAAAACAAATCCCCACGAACAAATGTTCATTCCTCAAGCCCTAAAAATTTGATCCTATGAAAATAAGTGATTCTACGATAGTATATGAATTTTTAGTTCCAAAAAGTAAATGTATGGTTTCCGAAACATTGTGTATTCATATTATTCTCTCTCTTTCTCCTACAGATTATGTGCACGCCTTGGCATACTGGCCATAAGACCATAAACTAAAAATAGACTTAAGTGAAAAATTAAAATTTGAATAACTTGAAAATAAAACTTTCCATTATATGTTTTATTTGAATGTTGTACATAATTTCAATTTTTAAAAAATGTTTCCAAAATAAAAAAAGGGATATTAATTATCTATATTTCGGCTAAAGTTTGTTCTGTGTTTATGAGTTTGGGACCAAAATTTTGACTAAATCTCTTCTCAGTTTATAGGTTAGGGACCAGGAGTATAAACAACTATGTAACTGGTATTTTTGTATTTATATTTCTAAAACTCTGGCACATTTTGCAAAGGATCAATTAGTTACTTACTCTAAGACAGAGTTTTCTAGATCTAATTTGTGATCCAAAACAAATTTTACATCCATGAATTGGTCTCCACTTTTCAATTTCCCGTCGAATGGACTGTGAAATTTTCCTACTTCCATAAAAGGGTGCTCCGGTTCCTTAAGATAAAAAACATTATGCTAATAGAATATCTCCAATACATTAAAAAAAATTAAAAAGAAATATAACATTAACAACAACACACCTTAAGTATTTTACCTACATCAAAATTTAAATTCCTTAATATAAAAAAAAGGTTTGGTCATTTTTATAAGTAAAACTTGGTGCAAAATTTCTATAGTCATCATGTTGTGAAGTTTGCATTAACAACCACTCGGAACATGTAAAGGACGACTGTACTTAAGGACATGCGAAATTTGCGACAAAATAAACTTTCAAAACAAGCATTTTTCTTTTCATTGCAAGAATGGTCAACATCCAATCTACAACTTTAAGTAATTACGTTTAATAAAATGTGTATTTACGTCGTTCGAATCTTTTTCAAAGGCAGGGGTTATCACAATTTCTTAAATCTCCGTTCGATAATAAGGACGCCCACTTTTTTACTGACATTTTACATAGTCAGCGCATGTTTGTCTATTGCTCTACGTTTAACAGTAGTTGTATATTTGCATAAATAATAATGTGTCAAAAGGAGATTAATAGACAAACATGCGCTCATGGTTAAAAAGAGAAAAAAAAACTGCTTCTTCTTACATTCGCTTTCTGTGTTGTAACCAAGGATTGTGATATGTTGAATATTATAATTCACCACGTGATTTCTTACCTCAGGCAACTTTGTGAATACTAAATACCGTCACGTGACTTGTAAGGTAGCATGTTTTGTGCTAACTAGGACATTGTGTTCGAACGCGTTAAATCATCTGGCATTGATATAAAATCTGCTTTAATTACATTGATCTGCTTATATTGTTAATTTCGTTTTGAAACCTTTGTCAGAAGTGCTTTTGTGACGTACAGAATGGAGAGGGAGATTGAAAAGAGTGATCACGTTCTTTTTTTCCATACATGTCATTGTTATTTATCAAGTCTAATTTTAGACCCATTCTTACAATGTTAGCTCCACCTCTCATGCATATCTAATGTTCATTCAAGGGCAGGTAAGTGTAAATTCACTATATTTGGAAAGCAGTAAGGACAAAAAACATTGAATCATTTTATTGTTTCACACAGTCTAAAATCATTTTAAGATTTAAATTTGGTTCCAAATTGACAGGATTCTTTCATAAACATACAAAAACGAAATAAGGTTTAGATATAAAAGCAACAAAAGCAACCGAAAAAGACCCCAAAACAGGCGTTAAGTGCAGTCATCCTTTGAAATTTACATCATGATATGATTTATGATTGCAGTTATATATACGGATGAAAGAAATACATACATATAAAAATAGAAAAAATGCAACGAGGGAAAAACTGGCGGAAGGGAGGGGGGATCGTCCTGTCTATTCAGTTTTTAAACGAAAAAAAGAAGTATGCTCCTATTTCAAAAGTCATTAAATTTTTTTTATGATTATGCTTTTTTTGTAAACGAACATGAAGAAATATAGCATACGTATATACATTTATTTACGTTTTAGCATAATACTTTGTCGTCTATTTCAATTATAGAATCCATTAATTAACATAAATGTACCTTCATGATGACCTTTGACACAACATCATTTACATGTTTGGATACATCATTCAAATCTGCAGAGCTGTCAAACGGTATGACGACCTGGATTGGGTTACTTCGGACAAGTACATCAAAAAAAGGCTGATATAAAGACAACATACCATAGTCATGAAACTTTAAAAATATTCGAAATATGTACATGCATATGCATGTTAACAAACAAATATTAAAAAGACCAATGGATTTGATCAATGTTTATAGTTGAGAATAGATTAGGTACATCTGCATAAATACTTAATAGATAAGAATGTTTTAAGATAATATATAAAATTGCAGTAACATCAAAATCTTCATTCATTTTATGTTTTTCTTTGAAAAAGTCCTCTTTTAAAGTAATTCCAAATATGCTAAAATAATAAAATAAAACTCAGTGATTTCATCGACCTTGCTTTTTTTGATAGATAACCTTCCAATGATAATTAGATAAACCATCACAAACATATCCTACTCTACTATCAAGTAATACATTATATCTCATATTCTCACACCTTAAATTTTTTTCTATGTTTCCAGAGATTCCTATAAGATAAGGGTTTATCATTCAAATAGAAAGCTTCACAAATACTAGAAAATTAACACGTTCCACAACAGCATTATCACTTTCGTCAATTCTTTGATCACCCCGCCCCCTTCCCAACTTAATCACTTGAATCTAAGGCAGATTGCCAATCCATTACTACTAACAAATTTACTTGATAAATATTTCATGTAAATAATTCAGGAATATGATTGGTCGGCAGCCCTCGATAATGTATTATTATGCTGAACTTACGTGAAGTAAAGTCACTTCGTTGATATTCATTGACCAGCCATCTTTGAAATATGTGGTCACGTGATGAAGTCCTGTCTGAGGAACATCCATATTCCCATTCAAAATGTGAGCAATGCTTGATTTTATGCTGATATGCGGGACAACTAAGATTCCACCTTGTTTAAAATCAGTGGTTTCTGTAAAAAGATCAAAATTTAGAGCAGACGCTTTAAAGGGGCCTGGGCAAAGTTGCATTGTTTACTTTTTTAAATGTCTCTTTTTATTCTAAAACATCTTCAGTTAACGGTTTGAACTTACATGGATATTCTAAGAATTCAATGACAAGATATTCTTCATAACATCACGTCAAACACCTGCGTTTGTAAACAGGGCATGAGCTTTGTTATTGTCAGTGTTTAGGGGTGTGTTCAGTTTTGTTAGTCTGCACACATCACTGAGCACGACTGACAATACTGGTGAGTTGGTTTGCTTTCTCCCATTTCTACTCTGATTTTTCTGTATTACAGTTTTTATATTTTCCATTAATACAAAATAAATTTTCTACATTTCTCAAATATTATGGATAATGTTTACTTTGTGAAAATGCAAGGATATGTGTCAATTAAACGCGTTTCGAAATTCTATCTTTAATAATTTCAAGATAAAAGAAGTTTCTAAACAAGACTTTAATATATTTCGGCGTGAAATGCTCTAGCAACATATAAGTCATTATAATATATAATATAGCAGAAAATATGAACTTCAAATCTGTGGCTCAGACCCTTTAAATGTCTAATAAATTTAAATTTTCTATGTAATGTTTAGCAGTCTAACACAATGTTCTTATATTCTTGTTCAAAAGGTTTTAATTAGGATTCAATGTCTGCAACTTAAAAGCAATTAATCTTTTAAAGTATATTAATCAAATGAATGTACTATTAAGCAGGATCGACTGTAACATTTTAAGAATTTCATACTAGTCCAGAACTTAACTGTACATTTAATTCACTAATACAATTTTAATACAAATAATATATGGTAGAATGTGGGGGAAAAAATAACTTTGCTACCCGAGGCAACAAAGAAGTCCTTTTCTTATCCATAATTGTTATGATCAGATATACTTTTTATTTAAATCTAAACAGAAGAAAGGGAAAACACTATCTCAAGCAATCCCAGTGTGAAACATTTATTTTCTTTTTTTTCATGAATTTGAGAAAAAAATGTAGCACTTAGTCTAAAAATAGAAATGACCACCAAGTCCTATATTTAAAACATGGTACTATGTCTGTGTTGATGCACATTACCTTCACTCGGAGGTAATGTTGACCCACCCCCTGTTCGGACATGTTTGTCTCTGGCTGACGTCAGACAGCAGACGGCTGTCCCTATCACAGACACGTGACACTTCTCTGGTAGCACCCCTAGAAGATGTGCCAGTCCCACATCTGATACAAGGCAGCAGCCATCCAGATTTACCTTCAGAATTAATTATAAAATAAAGTAGGAGAATATTAAGATTTTCGGGTAAAAGTTCAGCATTTTTTAGCTCAATCAATTGTCCCCATAAGAAGGGATTTTTCTGTAATTTTGACCCTTTTCTAACTGAGGTCTGAGATTAAATAGAATTCAAGAAGTATTATAGACAAATAATTTATCAATGAGGATTTTTTAACAGTGTACATGTACATGTAGTTTTGAGAGTTATCTGAATAAAAAGTAAAGGATTTGATCGAGTTCAAATAAACAAAGTATTTCAAAAAGTACAAAATTTAAGATAAATCATGCTTAACAAATAATTTCTCATTAGTTTGCCAAAAATGAGCAATTTTAATACTCCTGTAATACATACCTGTGTCAGTTTGTTCGCTGATTCTAGGATCTCTGATAACCATTTCACTCCAACATCCGTTAGAATCTGACATCCCTGTAAATCAACTCTCTGTAGACATGAGAGGATTCCCTATAAAAAAAAAAAACCAGATATTAAAACTATGAGGTATTTCTACACATTTATGGAACATATGATTGTTTTTATTAATTATTGTAAAAAATATGGTGTTTATTTAACAAGAAAACTTCAAGGCTATACCTTTTATGTAAAGAAACAAACAAGAGGGAATATCTGAAAACTTTTGTGAATTAAAGTAAAAACATTCACGTCAATTGATGGAACACTGTGTTACCGACTAGATTTAAGGTAGTCCGATCCTCAGGTTCTGAAAATCAGCAGTTAAGGAAATGAAAAATGCTCACAAAAATGTCCCTGACAGTATTCACAAAGTAATGTGAATTTACCCATGGTATTTCTTCAAAGTTCATTTCAAGAACAGCGAATAAAAACAAGAGCTCTACATTTTCTAATAGGGTTCGCCGAGCACCGTTTTTGGTTCTAAATTTACTTTGTTATGGGGTATACGGAGAACGCTTGATTTCACCAAGACGCTTGTAAACAAAGTTGAAAACGTCAAAACGTTTCGCAAGATATCGCTTTATTTACATTTAATGAAGCGATTTAAGACAGGATATGAGAAAAGGAGGAATGAAAACACGTGGCAGAAAGGCAGATTTGATAGAAAGGTACTTAAAGTTAATAATTCAGCAAAACATGGGAATTACTATCATTCGTAGAAATAATGTTGTGCAGACGAAAGTGAACACTTGTTGACGTTAGAGGACGTACTGCACGTACCTTTGTCTCTCACATCACAGTCATTGTTATGTCTAACATACTCTTCATTGTCAGATTGACACTTAACTTCAATTTAAAACTTGTAGAATGAAGGAGTCCAGCCTCTGCTGTCTGACCCTAAATTGGCTAAAAGTGGAATATATATGGCCCTCATAGATGTGTCAGCAACTTCAGTCATAACATTGAGATCTGCCTTGTATCTGTGTTCAACAAATAGATGTGTACTTTATGCACAGACTAGCAGGTTTGTTTACTGTGTATGTTCATTAATAATCATATTTATATTAATGCAAGACATTGTGCACTCATACACACACCCATGTATAGGGATCTTATATATTAGTAGTAGTACAGTTAAAATTTGGCATCTCGAACTTTGAAATTTGGGTTCCGTAGAGTTTGAGATAACAACATCTGTACCTCTACTATGCTGCCCTAGTTAGAATAATCTGTGTCTCGGGTCAAGCCCTCACCGGATCTGTAGGACAATATCATTTTAACAATAGAATCTATATGCAGCCCATATTCCACACTTGAAATGTGAATGATAATTCTTGTTATAGATACTTTAATGAATACCCCCAATTTTACAAATTTAATAAAAGATCACAAGCATTTTTAAAACATATACCGGGGTATTACTCTTTGCAATGTTCTATAATTCATCTTGATTGTTTAACATTTTATTTAGGTCAACTAGAACTTCAAACTGTAGATAAATGGCACAGAAGTTTTAAATTCACACTACGAATAACTGGGAGGCACAGGGTACCATGGGATGTGTAAACATTAAGCTGCAGTGTTCCTGATGTTACACCATTTTGCTGCAGGCAATCTTGAATAGACTGATGATCAGGAGATCAAATAGAGAAATTCCCCAAATATTTCATAATTTAGCCAAAATATTCATTTTTCAGGTATAAACTTAATCCCAAGATTTACTTAAATTAAATACATGTAATTAAATAATAGGCTTGAGTATCGCAAGCTATCTAACGATATGATACATATCACGATACGGTCATGTGATACAAGATGTATCATGATACAGCTGTCAAAAATTGAATTGACTGTTATCTTAAGACATTATTCATTGCTAACATCTACAGTTATAGAAAATATAAAAATAATATCTTGATACCTCTGACCAAACTTTATTATAGGTGGATTTATAGTCTTGACAATGTATTTTTTCTTTGCTACCTTGTTTTCAGTCATTTTAAAACACTAAAATTTGTAAGCTTGTATGTTGAAGTTTTAAACAAAACAATGAAAATTATAATGTACTGTATCACGATATATACATGGCGATACGATATGCGTATCGTAAGCCCTTGTGATCAATACGATCGATGTATTGCTGTATCGTTACACTTCTATTAAATAACTGTATGGATAGCCTATAGTCTTCCTGACAATATATTTACATACTATACATGAGTTCTGCATACTTCAGTCAAAATATACAGTAACAATCATTTTACTACTTCTGAAGCTTGATGTTATGGATAAATAAACTATTTATTTCAGCCTCTCCAATTGAAGCAGCAGATCACTGAAGAAAGAAATTTTAATGACTTCTTTGATAACTCCTGGCCAGAACCATTATAGAAATAATCATGGATTCCATGACAGGGACAGGAATATGGTCATCAACTACTGTTTAAATACTTCAATTTCTTGACTGTGGATCATGAATTCAATGAAATTGTATTGAAAATGAATTCAAAGCGAGATCAGTTATACATCTCTTAATGAGCACTTCACTTCTCTGATACATCTCTTCTACATTCTCTGATTTGTTAATTCAAAAAGATTTTAATTCTGTTTATTTAAAATTGGATCTTCTCTATTCATTTTAATACTACAGGAAATATCTAAGCATCATTTGTTATATGTAAAAGATAAATGTATAACCATCTACACAATTACTACAGCTACTAATCACCAGATTTTTGCATTCCCTCGGTAGAATGAACATGTATAAAGTAAATGAATTTATCTACAATTCTTGCAATTATATTCCAACTTTTTTGTCCAGATGATCAAGCCTTGAATATGTTTAAGGAAGCTCCAAACACTAATGAAAAATGTTTTAAGAAAGTTGTATCAAATAAAGGTGTACATATTGATTTTATGTAGCTCATTTTTAACATAGAATACATGTACCTGCCATATTTTTCCAGGGAAAATGTTTAAAGACAATGAAGTATTCACATGAATGCTGTTTACTTATACATGTACTAGGAAAATATATGCAGGTCATGTATTCAATAGCTATATTTTGGTCTAACGTATTAGGGCTGGAATACATGTTTTTTCAACTGTTTTTCAAATTGTGTCATTTTCTGAAGATTTCTGTTTATTTTTCTTCAAATGCCATATCACGATCCAATTATATACAGTAAACACTCTAAAAAAGGAAGTTCCGGGACCGACAATCTTGCTTCGTTATTAGCATAATTCGTTATATCTGTTAAGTATTCAATACATTTGAAGTCAAGGAGAATGAAAATCGCTCCGCTTTAAGCGTCACTTCATTATAAGCATATTCGCTATAAGCATGTTTGGCTATAATTGGATCTTTTTCAGTGAGCAGTGTTTACAGCTTAAACATTGGATTGGCACATGTAAAAGAAGAAGTTGTACATTTAAGCTTTCATATTGACTCTAATTAGTTTAATTCTTCAGCATTTTTACTGTGCACTTTTGTCAACTAAGTAACATTCCCAGAATTAGCAATTGCAAAATATATAAAGGATAAAATTCAGTTCATATACCATCAGGCATTGACAAATAGCTGAACATGTTTAATTGTTGAAACCAGTGTAATCCTAAACTATTTTACAATTCTCAATTTCTGGAAGTGGTTAATAGAAAAGTTGTCCAAAGTCTGCATTGATATTGGATCTATTTATGAATAGGTTCTTTGTATTCAGGGGTAGTCTCTCCTGTAGAAATTCAAAAATAACAACATGTTGGATTTGATTACTACAAGTCATCTCCATTACAGATGAGGTGCTTGGTACTTGCTAATTTTTCCCACAGTTGCTTTTAACAATGTGGAGTCTCTTCAAATTGTCTTCCATCACTTGCTATGCTGAAATTGAAGTCACATATGGTTACTGGACTTCAGCAAGCACTTCATTCTAACCAAACTATTATTTTTTGTCGAATCAAATTACATTAATACAGTAATCTTATTTTGTGATTCACTTTTCATACAGTTATAACTCTTTACATGTTATGGCTCAGTGATAAATAAAAACTATAAATTCACTTGTTTTTTTACGAGACTTGCGTGATGCATGATTAAATTTGTACTTACTTTAGTATTGGAAATTCTGAATTCTGAAATGTAAAACAAAACAGAAACATTTAAGCTACATGAACTTCAATAAATCATTACATGCAATAGCAATCAAATGAACACTGATGAAATCAAGAAATCCTTTATATTGTACAGATTATCAATAAATCAACCTTACTGCACCTGACTCTGACCCCTCAGTCAGACTCTTGGAAATAGTAGTGGCAAACTACAAAGGTGTGATCTTTAGCTGTATCCAGGGACGCTATGTAACCGTTTCGTCGTAGGATCTTCTCGTTTTATGGCTACACGCCACTTTATTTATATTACAGCATGGTTTGGTATATCTGTGACCATTTTACCGCCCAAAACGAGGAACTCAAAGGTATATAACGATCGCAAACTCGTAATCAAGCTGATAAACAAAAGTGAGAAAGTGAAAATAACGTGTTAAAGCGCACGGGTGACGTGATCAAGCGTCTTTCGTATACCCCATAACAACACAGTAAAGTTTAGAACCAGAGACGGTGGTCGGCGAACCCTATTGCTAATTGATCAATAAATATATTTTAGGATTAAAAACTATAGGTATCCAGACATTTGCAGAAAATTTATTTTTTTAAAGATATCGATATTGTATTTTAGTTCTTTTTTTTACTTTGAAATGTGGCATAATACATACTGTGGAAAGCTTAGAAGAAATCGCAGATCACTTCTGATTTCATATCATGCTAATAAGTTTTGATATTTAAGGCCAGATTAAAGGAAATCTGATTTCTCCAAAAATATATTTATTTTGTGCTTTTATGGATCAGATTATCAACTTTTTACAATACATTTCTCAGACTTCGAAGAACCTTCAGTCATATTGAGATGCATGAAATAAAAATTGTTGCATTAATGAATTTCAATTTCAATCTTTATTTTGAGACTTTTTAAGTCAAATAATAATTTTAAAAATTATCCTTCCTGGCTGAGGATCGGATATCCTTAAGAACCATTGAAGAATATTATCTGGACAATTGACAAGGTTGTATTTTATGAAAGCACTAAACATAAACATTTTATATGATGGAAACAAACCTTTTTGACCAATCTGATGATATTTATGACTGCATCTGTACAGTAGCCATTCCCTGAAAAATCTATTTCCTCCAAACTCTCCCATTTCAACGTCTCTATCTGCTTCTGTCAAACAAATGAAATGTAACACTGAAATCTCCATTGCATTGAATCACCGCTACATTGAAATTTACATCATTAGCAATAGCAGCCACATGATATTGCCAGTAAGTATTTGGGTAAAGAAGGGGGTCAAAAGTTGGGGGGGGGGGGGTAGATGGACATGTAATTTTCAGTTTTACTTTCCTTCAAGTTTCGAATAAAAATATATGTATGTGGCTGATTTATAATGAAAAAAGTATTTTTTTCATTTTGTTGTACATGTAGGTATGGATTATAGGCCTAAGATCTAAAATTAAATATATCAGAGCAGGGGTCTAGAATTTTTTTTTAAATTCACTTGCCCACGGGCAAGTAATGACTGGGAATCCACTTGCCCAGATTCAAAATTCACTTGCCCCCAAAAAGATAGAGAAAATCATCTAGTTTTACTGATTTTTTTTTTTTTTTTTTTTGAAAACATATCAGAAAATCATTTAATTTTACTGGTTTATTTATTTGAAAACGTATCATTAATTAACCTAAAACAGAACTCGAAAACAAAAATCTAGAAAAATATAAACAACTCTATTTTGTTATTTTTTTATTGTGTGGTTTTAATGTATACACCATCTGAAAGCAATTATTATGTACTTGTTAATTATTTTGTTAAAATATCTATTGATTTAATCACATTTTGACAAAACATTGTTTTCAAAACATCATTTCTTTTTTAAAAGCCATTCCGTAATTTTGAGATCTTTCCGGATTGGTTCCGATATTATACAAGTAATTGGACTTCCTATGATAAGTATTGGAGATTAAATAAACGAAATGTAGCAGACTTGTGCAGATTCTAATACAATGTAATTGGATGTTTATTGTTATTGATTTCTTTTAATAAACTCGAAAAGTTTTGCTGGCTCAGCCTGAAATTTATTACTTTCCCGTTCGGGTAAGTTTATCATGAAAACTATCTTTCCCGAGATGAATTTCACTTGCCCCGGGCAATGGGAAAGCGTAATTCTAGACCCCTGTCAGAGTATATATAATTAAATATAGAGCCAGGTCTAAAACGTTTTAAGCATTTACGAACTTGTAAAATTAAAAATGATTGTAAAATCAACAGTTTTCAAATAGATACAAAACTGTGCATGTAATATTATTTATAAAATTATATCCGCTGTAAATAAAAAAAAAAAGATAATTTATGGAAAAGGATAATTCACTATCTAGATGTTCTGTATTGAACGAAATACAGGGGAGCCTTGAAAAAGAATCACAATATTTTTTTCTAACCTTGAACTTCTGCAGAGGAATATGTCCTCTTAAGAAAGACTCTTCTTTGTCAAACGTTAGGGTCTTCATTTCCGATGAATCATGATGGACAGTTTTTTCAAAACGACAACAGCATCTGAACAAAGAAAATTATAATAATTACATATTTTTCTCTCGCATCAACAAGAGTACATACTACATATAAAACCTAATCTATATAGGATTCAATTTGAGGAAGGAGAGAAAAATATGGGTGGCAAAGGGGGGATTACAACCTCCCTCCCTGTTTCAGGTCTTGCTGCAACTATCTTTAATAAATTTAAATTAACAATTAATGTATATCTATCATATGTCTTTAAGCTTGTTAAGGTTATGAAAGAGAAATAATTCATTTTTTTTCCCTGACATCAAACACAATCAGTTGCTAACGACGCTAGCTGTCGATGCCTCGCGTGTTTACCTGTTGTGTTCAGCTGTTTTTAGTTTCACTTTTACCAAGGCCGGCGCAATGCCCGATAGATAAACTTACCTTCGACAACGATGGCAGGATGAGGTTCATTATCTCTAATATATCCTTTCAATTCAAAGAATGTTGGTAAATATTGTAAACATCCATAGAATATGCCGAAGAACCTCACAAAAATAATTTCAGTAAATCACAAACCATCCGTACTGTTATTCCACCTTTCTCAGTGAAGCATACATATCGATGAGAGTTATTGATTGGTATCGGTCCATATGCACTTAACCTGAGATGAACTCAACCGTTAAGGGTATTTAAATATAGCTGAGTCAAGTTCAATAAGGTTTCGCGTACGTATAAACATTTAAATGGTCAATTATTACACCTATCGGTCATTAACCTACAAACAATGATGTTAGGATTGTTTTTTTTTTTACATTGCCGTATGCAGATTCTTTTACATAACATAACTCGAAGCAATGGTTGATTTTATCCTCCAGAAAGGAGCCCAATAAGCCGATTTTAATTTCAGAGAGAGAGAGAGAGAGAGAGAGATGCATTTATTATCAACGACATACATATTGAATTTTATCTACATGTACATGTACAGAATGTAAGTGCTGAAATATAAATAAATATGTACTTACCTATAAATTTAATGATGCAGATCGCATTGTTGAAAAACAAGAAACATTTTTAATCACTCTTTGTATGTTGTGACTTAATCCTGCATACAGGTGAAACGATTAAGAATTGCTAAACAAGACAAACATTGAAAGTCTATGGAAAATAATTTAGATATCTCGTGCGGCAAAAATTGCTGACTTAAAAATATTTATCCTGTATTGATCTCGGTTTCTAAAACAGTCAGTTCGCATCTAGCCATTTAAAGGTCGGGAAAATCCAAATGTGGGTAGATTTATTGATAGTTAATTATGCATATTGATCTATTTCACCATCTTTTCTACATAGATTCGGAATTCCAAAGTCAGTGATGTGCTTAAATGAATTGCCTGACTCCACATGAGATGGTTGTGCTCTCTTCTTTGATTTGGTATCGGGAAAAACCTATGTGTCATGGCTAAAATTAAAATAAACTGTGAGCTAAAAATTATGCAAATTATTATAGATGAAAGAATTGAAAGACATGGATATGGAGGGTTTCTTTTTTTTTTTTTTTAAAGAAGAGGCGCTAGGTTTTTCTTTTCTTTTTTCTTTTACGGGGGAGTGGGTTCTTTTCATTTTGACACTATTTGAGATTCATTATAGAAGTAAAAATTTTGCTGCCGAAAATATCTTTTGGTCAGGTTTCTACGTTTCAAAACATCGAGTAAATAACTACTTTGAATTTAAATTTGTAGGTAGATGTTTTTATGTACACTAATTGAGGAATTACTGAATCACTTAGTTTAATTGTATAAGCTTTATATTTGCAGTGAAACATTGCTGTAATTTCAAATAACATTTTCTCCCTTCTCCTGATGAAGTGATTGACAGTGGATGATTACCCCGTAAATATATGTACGATATAAGACGCTGACCATGCAGTGAACATCTAGTAAAAGAGATTTACCTAAAATAAGTCACCAACTTTAGGTTGAATAATACTCTAAATATTAATTTCCCGTGGCCAGTATTTGGACAGTAACATTTTTTTTCGTACAGGCTACTTAAATCTTGATAGTACGTATAGAATAAATAATAAAAAATACTATGTATTTGCTTACCAAACACGTACATGTACATGTTGTTAATTAAGATATTTATAATAATAATCATCTGCCTCTTTTCTCCTTATAAGTTTGAAAACAATTGACTGGAAAACTCCCTATATATACAAATAAAGTTGTCATAAACAAAATCAATGGAATTTATTTTAGATGAAAATAACTGACAACTGTAGATTCTTAAATTTTATTCAAATCGTCGCAATGAATTACTAATTAATATCTGCTCTTTCCGATGTGCATGTGTGTGTGGGTGTGTGTTTGTGCGTGTGTGTGTGTGCAATAATTAAATTAACTAAACACATGCATGTATCTATCTATATTTTTCAAAATAAAAACTGTAACTATATTATGTGCATATGAAAACTTGAGCAATGCAGAAAAATGATTCACATATGTAATAGGGTTCGTTGAATAAAAACGAAGTTGATCCTTGCTTCATTGTTGTATTTTATTTAATAATAGTAACCATGGTAACAGTAGAGTAGAGTAGTATAATATAGTAGACCCTTTAATATGGTCAAAAGGTCTGGATGTATATATGGAAAGTTATACTATCATGTAGCTGTGACAGTCCTATAAGGAATGCATAACAATGAGTAATCTCCCTTTGCTGCTATAAAAATCTTTAATAATAATAACTGCTTTATTTAATGAAAAGTACCTAGACTTTTAAATTGAAAGAATTATTTAAATTATATGAAACATGCAGAAGATAAAATTCCTAATTTTACTATTAATCACATTACAGTTATACAAGTTATTGATAAAAATAGTTTTACAACTTTAGACTTATTTATTCATTTCACTCAGTCCTACATATATACAATTTAATCCTTGAATTAGAGTGAAATGTCTGATAAAATATTTATACTGCTCATTTACACAATCTCTCAAACTTGCATTCACCATTCAAACACCTTTTTCACTCACTTTCACATAAACATACAAAATCACAATCATATATGAAAATAATATTAAGAACAGACCTGAAATTCTGGAATTGAACAATCAAAGAAAATAGACTGCTACACCCCAAATCGTATGAAATCAGGAACATCAAGACATCCTGTCAGTTTGAACACAAAGACTGGTATGACCAGTTCTAACCAAAAATAAACTGCCCACAAAGAGATTTCCCTCCAAAAACCTCGACCAATGAAATCTCACTGATGGGTTATTTCATAGGTCACTGACCTCTCAAAGTTTATTACAATAAGGGGAACTTATATTTATTTATACTAAAGTAATTCCTAAATAATTGTATCTTCTAAAGTACAATATACATTAAATAAATAATAATTTGCTGAAATACAAATATTAAGTTAAATTAAATAAATTTCCTGTAAATAATAATATCAAAATTATTTTGTAGATAATATTACTAAACATAACAAATAAACACAAAATCCTAAAATACTAAAACTATATACACTTTTCAAATATTTACACTTTACCACACATATAAACAAATTAATTTTATTGCTTTAAACGTATATGGTTAAACAGTCAATGCATTGTTGTCTGAGTCAAATCCGATTTAAAACCACACCCAAATCATATATTAGATCAATGTTCTAATAGTTCTGCGTATTATTTTGTTACAGCTCTGCACAATTCGTCAATGTAATTTATTTTGATACAACCGGGTATATCAGCATGAGTGATTCCTTGTCAAGAAAGATAAATTTGGTTGAAGAGAATTAGGGTAAAATTTATCAATAAATATAAATAAAAGTGCTTGTAAATTTTCAGTATAAAAGAAAACCAGAAAAAGTAGTGGATGGTGCCGCACCCACAGACCTGATATTATTTCCACCAGTTTTCTTCATCAGGACACGATCACCCTGCTGTAAAGGCAAAACAATAAGATTTCCGGCACTATCAACATCATCTGCACTACCACTTGGAGTGTATCCGAGAATGTTAAATTTCTTCGAACCGTTCACTTCCAAGTAAGCATACAAAGAAGATTTATCAGTAAGTATGTAACAGCTGAACACGTAAACCCCACCCACTGGTGCAGTGAACACGCCTGTTGATGAACTGTAGCCCCCACCTACGTTTGAAATGACTTTATGAAATTTAATCACTTGATCGCTGTTCCATCCACTTGGATCCCTGATTTCATTCGTAATTCCAGCTGAGAAATACACGTTTTTACTTGAATCTGAAACAAATATGGTCCGTTATATGTACGAGAATCAACATATAAATGATTAACATAAAAAGAAATCACGTTTTATCTATATTGACAGCTGATAACCTATTTTTTTCTGCTAAAACTCAACCCTTTATTAAATTAAAAAATCTTTGTGTTTCAAGGAATCTTAAAAACATTTATAATATATAATGCTAGTAAATACGTTTTTAATTTGGACATATATATGAGCCTTACCTTCGCGATAAAAAAGAAAGATAAAATTGAATAATGTAAAGTTTCTTGTTTATCATCTGTGCGCTAAAAAATCTAAATGTACATTGAAATGAAATCAGAAAGTTTAAAAATTGTTCATTCGATGAAAAAAAGAAAAGAATTAAATTATGTAGTACTTCAGGTATGAGATGTACATTTACAAACATGTCATCTTTTCAAATTTACCTAGTCCAGTTTTCATGAGGACTACAAAATTTCAGAAATATGATAAATTAAAAAAAACTTCCACATAAAAATAGTCTCTTGTTGTGGACTTTTCAAAGTTTATCCTCAATATTTGAGTAAAAATATACATTGTTTAGTTAACAAAAACATAGAGCAAGGACCCACTTTTATGACACAACATTCGTATCTTTCAGAGAAATACTTTAAGTCCATTTAGTCAAGGGTCATATTAAACATGATTTAAATCCCTCTATTTTTTAGGAGCCGTATAGCGTATAGTGGTTAGCGTGTTAGTCTTAAATTAAAATGATACTCAGGAATTTTATTTCTTAGGGTTCGAATCCCACATTATTATTTTAATAGCATAAAAAAAATTGCTGAGAAATTTTTTCTTATAAAAGTTTTTTTCATCATAATTGCATAAATTTTAATAATTAGAACGTTAATCTAACTACAAAATTCATAAATTAATTATGATTTTTATATATCTGAAACTTTAGGCATTCTGAACACCTTATACACCCATCTTTTCTATCCTCAACTTCCCATATTTATGTAACAATATACCATTATCACGAGCAAATGGAGTTTATGTCTCTCGGTTGATTCGATACTCAAGTGCATGCACTACTTATTAACAATGTTTAAAACAAGACAAGCTATTAAAGCTGAACACGCTTCGTAAAAAGAATGTGTCCGCCATATTCGATAGGACTCGAGCTGTATCTGAGGGCCCCTATATACATTGTATAGAGCCACTCACTTTGGCACTGTTCGGTGTGGTGTAGATGGACGTATGCTACGTATACAGCACTTGGAAGCGACAAAATAACTGCTTCTTCTAATGCAGGAGAGTAAGATACCAAAGAGATTTACAACAGTTGCACAGGTCAGTGCAGTATACAAACACAAATATGCGTAACTGCAATAAAATGTAAACAAAGGGAATGCAAGATAACCAGCACGAACACGGGTCGCCATTCCACGCCGATACCCGTGACAATAAAGCAGTCGGGTGTAACGAATGCGAAGAGTATACCCTGGTGCTGATATCTAAGATAGTAATATCGAAAATGGCGTATGCCTATTTACGGGTCGTGTTAAGCTTTAACAAATAAATTGATGAAACAATAATATCAAGAGTCTCGTTCATTGTCAGCATTTCCTAAATTCTATAATCGATATAATGACCTTGTCAGCTGGTACAGTCTATCATTAAGTCTAGTGATGACTGACGTTTGTAAGACCATTTTTTACACTCAATTGTCTACGTACGTTTCCGTTTGCCCAATCTTGACAAGGAGTACTTGACGCGTCGGACCGGTCGACAGAGTATAATTACTCCTCCATGGCACCTAACCCCACCTCTGATGTTTTAGAGGTTCGTGCTTGCTCTGTTCTAAACTTGTATTATTTCATTTGATATCCGAGCTTAATTACTGTCGATTATCGCTATATTTTATTCAAGGAAAAGAAAACCTTTTTATAAGATATATATATATATATATATATATATATATATATATATATATATATATATATATATATATATATATATATATATATATAAGGTAAGATTTGGTGTTATTACTGTATTGATAACAAATATCAAAACATTTCAACTGTATTGTTATATGAATATAAGTTTTCAGTATGATTGTTTGAGTAAAAAAATAATAACAGATACATTTATATTAATTCACTTGAAATATTATGATGTGCTTCATACCTTTAAGTAATTCGACACTATTCTCCAAAAGAGACAAAGCAGATGTGAGATTTTCTTGTTTCTGGCGGATGCTCAATGCTTCAGAAGCAATACTAGACACTGACATAGCAGAAGAGCCTATCTTAGCTTGTATATCTTTTAGTTGTAACATAACGTTCGATATATTTTGATCGTTTTGGAATTTTTCATTTATCACTTGCTCAACTTCGAACATTACTGACTGTTTTTCGTGTTTCAAAACTTCATGTAAATCAGAATCATTTTTATAACCAACTTTGGTTGACTCCAGGTCCTTAATCTCCAGTGACATTCTATCCAAGGTTTTGTTACAGTTTGTGTACGATTCTCGGAGCTGCCGAACCTCATTTTCTACAGAAGCTCTGAGTTGTTTTTCTTTCGTCAGCTCGATCTCCATAGTTTGTTGTTTACTCGTCAACGTAGATATATCCTTATGTAAAGTTGTCACTTGATCGAGAAGGGCAGCAAATTCGTTTTTCAAAATAGCTTGTTCCTGATCTAAATTGATACTAGCTGGAACACCATGATTGGAATCTGTTCCCTGATTCAGAAGACCATTTGTAAAAGAAACGTAACATAGGAAAATAAATACCGATTGAAGATCCATGATGAATCCACTAACACTCCCTCTTTTTAGTAGCGATTTATCTGTGGAAAAAAAACGTGACTTTGTTCGATGGTATCTGATTACTTGTCTTAAGTACACAATCACGCAGCTTATCTGCAGCTATAGTTATAAATTGTGTAATTGTAATTTAAACCGAGATACGTCTTCTTTTCTTCCTAATGTACCACTAAGATGTAAAAGTGTTAATGCCCTTCATATTTCTATCGATCTTTTCAATTTTAAGCTCACCTGAGCTGAAAACTCATGTGATCTGAGCTTTTCTGATCACATTTTGTCTGTAGTCCGTCTGTCTGTAAACTTTTCACATTTTTGACTTCTTCTCCAGAACCACTTGACCAATTTCAACCAAACTTGCCACAAAGCATCCTTGGGTGAGGGAGATTCAGGTTTGTTGAAATGAAGGGCCACTATCTCATTCAAGGGGAGATAATTCAGAAATAGTGAAAAATTGGTGGCATAATTTAAAAATCTTCTACTCATGAACCACTGGCCCCAAAAAGTTGAAATTTATAGGAATCTCCATTACATTGTGTAGATTCAAGTTTGTCCAAATCATGACCCCTGGGGGGAGGGTGGGGCCACAATGGTTGATCAAAATTTTACGTAGGAATATATAGGAAAAAAATTTAAAAATCTTCTTCTCAAGAACAGCAAGTCTATGATTAGTCATATTGATATGGAAGCATCCTCAGGTAGTATAGATTCAAATTTGTTCAAATCATGACACCTGGGGTAGGGTTGGTCTACAATGGAGGATGAAATTTTTACATAGGAATACTCAGTATATAGGAAAAAAACTTAAAAAATCTTCTTCTCAAGAACAGCAAAACCTTGTTCAGTCATATTGATATGGAAGCATCCTCAGGTAGTGTAGAATCAATTTTGTTCAAATCATGACCCCCGGGAGTAGGGTGGACCAAAAATAGATGCTCAAAGTTTTACATAGAATATACAGGAAAAACATTAAAAAATCTTTTTCTCAAGAACAGCAAAGCTTTGTTTAGTCATATTGAAATGGAAGCATTCTCAGGTATTGTAGATTCAAGTTTGTTCAAATGATGACCTTCGGAGGAAGGGAGGGGTCACAATTAGGGATCAAAGTTTTTTATATGGAAGCATCTTCAGGTAGTTTAAAATTCAAGTTCCCCCCCCCCCATGTAAACTTTTCAATACTGAACTAATTTGTGGTTTTTCCTAGCCAATGTGCTCAGGTGAGTGATGTGGCCCATGGGCCTCTTGTTTTTCTGTAGAGACCATTTGTTGACAAAGATGACCTTGAAAGAAAATGTCAATCAAAATATCAATGTTAGCATGGTGAATAAAAGTTTTAAACCTTTTGTCAGTGTAATCCGTGACTTTTCAGTTCCCTCCTCAGTGTCATCTTGGTTTCCTCAATTAAATGCTGTACCATGTACATTTCCCTTTCATTTCTTTTTACATTTTCAAATTCACTAAATCGCAATAAGGTAAACACACTCTGAACTAAACTTGCATATATATGTATGGATATGGATATATCTCCATCCTCATTCCCTCCCCTATTTCATAATCCATTAGAACATATATTGCAACATAAATGTAGAATAAATGTTACATGTATTATTGTAGGATAAATGCTTCATCTATTAACAAAGGAGGCACAGATATGTTCACTTTATAAATGCAAAGCAGTTTATCTACCAGACAGTAAGAAATTTTTGTTTTAGTAATTATTCCCTATGGTTTTTGCATTTTAGATAAAAATGTTTTCTTAAGATCTGAATGGTTACTTTTAATAAATAACGTTTGGTTGTTACATGTACCTGAAAACTGTTCAAAAGATACTGTAGATTCTTTATTTGAGGCGAGTACTTAATATCGCGAAATGGTTCTTAGACGACAAATCGCGAAAAAAATAAGTCGCGAGTGGGGGGTTGATCAAGAGATTTTACATGGATTTCTGCACCATAAAAATAAAAGCGAGTAATTTTATTTCGCATGTGGTGCTTCTTGCGAAATTATGCGATAGATAATCCCTCGCTTATAACAAGGAATCTACAGTACCTAAAAGAGTCTTTTGCTTTCCTCTATGGTAGCTGTTCTTGCAATTAAAGTCATTGCACAATTTTGTATGATGAGAAAATTTTAGAATGACATTTTTCTCCAATTATTTTTATTTTGTTTCTTTTTTTTAAAATAGTAATTATTGTAAATAATTTCATTTATGTGACATGTTCTGGTATAATACTTTTAATATATAACAGTGTTTGTATTTTACCTAGTTTTATACTAAGCAGCTCCACTGTTCAATTTATTTAACAAGTTTTAACTTTTTCCCTAACCCTAATATGGGTTCAACCAATCAGCAAAGCTCTTTTCCATCACGTGATCATTATTGATCTGTTTACCAAAAGAGAAAGTAACGTTTATTGAACTGCTGAATTTTTCGAACCCGCCAGCCACTCCTTCTGCCACCAATGCTTGTTATTTCTTTTAGGTCGACATTTTTGTAATTTTGTTTTACCCATCTTGTTTCATTGTATGTTATTTTGTTTTACCCACCTTTTTTGATGGTAAACAGCAGTTAAGAGCATATGGCTGTTTGTTATTTTGTTTTACCCACTTTTTTTGATGACAGGCAGCAGTTTAGGGCATTTTATGTTTTTTTTTAATCTTATGTTTATAAGGGGATCAACTTGAAATACATGTATACTGTAATTTATGAAAGATTACAGGGTTTGAATTCTTATTCTAGTCTGGTTGCCCCCCCCCCCCCTTTTTTTTCCCTATGTACATCATGTTACAATGTCATTATGGTGCTGGGGGTCAGATTGTGCAGTATTTTGCCTAAGATGTTTGAGTCCCCTTTTTCTGACCCCCAATTTGTTAATTGTGTTTTACTTCTTTCGTCATTTGCTTTAATAAATGACATATTTCACTTCTACATGATGTTTTTTGTTTTTGCATACTTTTAACAAAAAACAAGTTCAGTCGTTTGACAGGAGAACTAAGGAACATAAACAGCTTTCCATAAATGTCTGCCAAACTTGAAAATGAAATGCCTATATCAAGAATGACAATTATCAAATGCGAGAGTCTTCAGTTAGTAAAACTGAGTTATGTGCCCCTTTTTATACCTTATGTAAAGCATAGGAGGTCACATGAACATAAAGTCTCTTGAGAGAGCCCACTACGAAAAACGACAACAGAAGATCAAGTTATTAAGAAAGTGAGGAAAATACGTTGATATTACATGTATCAATTTTTCATTATAATGAATGTTATTTTGATCCATATTCCTCTTTAAACTTAACACTCTGTGTACAATCAGAATGTTTTTGACGAATATTTTTTGCAAATTTCCAATGACAAGGTACATGTAAGTAAATTTACGAGTTCCATTTTTTTATTTAGATAGCAGCTGTCAAAACCCCTGGCTTAATTTATCGTGAGGAATGGGTGTATAAAGTGTTGAAAAGTCGTACGTTTTGATTTTATTAGTCCCCTGCCGGTGAAACAGGAGGGGACTATAGGTTTCCTCTGAGTCTGTCCGTCCGTCTGTCTGTCTGACCCTCTGTCTGTCTGTCAGTCTGTCTCACTTGGTTTTCCGCACTTTTTTTTCTAAACGCTTTAAGATATCGAGCTGATTTTTGATATGTGAGTGCATCTTGATGAGTTACAGATCAAGTTAACATTTCGTTCCGTTTCAATGATTTTTGACGGAATCACGACCTTTTAAATTGTTCAGGGTTTTCCGCAATTTTTTTTCTAAACGCTTGCAGATATTGAGCTAATTTTTGGTGTGTGACTTTACCTTGATGTGTTAAAGATCAAGTTTGTATTTCCATTCACTTTATTGATTTTTGACGGAATTATGGCATTTTCATTTTTCAACGGTAACCAGATTACACTTGCCAGTAGCGGACTAGTATTGCTAATGCAATACTCTCAGAATGCTTGTTGATTTTGTTAAATCATGTAAACTGTGTGATTTCAAATTTTCTAAAAGTTCCTTGGAGTTTTAAGGTATCCACATCTGATTTCCACTACTTCTCGAATATATTGTTGTACAGTACTCCTGAAGTTTCTTCTTCACTGCTCTTAACATTTTAGGGAGGAGTAAAGAAATACGTCTGGTAAAACATTTACTGGAATCCGCTGTGTATCTTTGTTTGTAGGATGAATGCATTATAGATATGATAATTCAAATTCAATTCGATTGTCGGGAAAACTAAAGATATTTAAAAACTGATATATGATTTTGAAGAATCTCCTCCCTTGAGAAGGAACTATGAGTAAAAGTTGTATAACCGCTTGCAGAATTAAATCCCAGTTCCTCTAAAATACAATTGAAATAATGAGCCTTACGATCTGACATGATGTTGTTACCTGCTTGTCAGCTTTTTCAACTTACATAATATGCAACAGTACATACTACTATGTGCAAAACATTGTACGGAGTTATAATACCTTTTTGTGTTTTATTTTAATGTAGTTTTCAATGTCAGAGACATTGGCAGGCAATAAAGCCACGTGAATTTAATCAGGAAGAATTAGATTTATACCTGCCGTAACATTTGTGTATAAGGAAACAATTTTGCACACGGTCACGAGTCTTCTAACAAAATACTAATCATTGTTAGTAGATTTCTTTATTGCACACCGGTGTACTCTTATCAAATTATTGTTTACTTACATACCCGTGAAAAACCACACATTTTTAATTTGATAAATGCGCAGAGAGTATGTCAATTCTTATTGAGGAAAAATTTATTTTTTTTAATTTAAGTGCACAGAAATTATTCGTCACACTTTAATTAATGAAGAGAAACCATGAAATCGAGGAACATGTATGTATATTTATATGGTTTAGTTATCAATTACAATATCATAATTTATCATATGGTCTGCTGTATTTAATTTCTGTGAAGACAAAGAAATGATAAACAATCTGCATTTTGCAAAATATTATCAATATATGAAATTACAATTGCATTTTA